GGTACGAAATGGGTGTTCCGTAACAAACTTGATGAAAATGGAATAATCACTAGAAACAAAGCTAGGCTCGTAGCTAAAGGCTACAATCAAGAAGAAGGCATTGATTTTGAAGAAACTTATGCACCCGTAGCACGTTTAGAAGCTATTCGTTTACTTCTTGCTTTTGCTTCGTCTATGGATTTTAAACTTTATCAAATGGATGTTAAGAGTGCCTTCCTCAATGGTTTTATTCAAGAGGAAGTGTATGTTGACCAGCCCCCAGGGTTTGAAGACTTTGAGTTTCCCGATCATGTCTTCAAACTCAAGAAAGCGCTCTACAGTCTTAAACAAGCACCCCGTGCTTGGTACGAACGTTTGAGTAAATTTCTTTTGGATAGTGGTTTCCAAAGGGGAAAAGTTGAAACCACACTTTTTATCAAGAGTAAAAACAATAACATCCTTTCGGTTCAAGTTTATGTAGACGATATTATATTCAGTGCTACTAACGAGTCTTTGTGCAAGGAATTCTCAACGCTAATGACAAGCGAATTTGAAATGTCAATGATGGGTGAGCTCACGTTCTTCTTGGGACTCCAAGTCAAGCAAATGAAAGATGGTACGTTCATTTGCCAAGCTAAATATTGCAAGGAGCTCCTAAAACGGTTTGAAATGGACAACGCCAAAGCCATGGCGACCCCGATGAGCACGTCTAACCATCTTGACAAAGACGAGAAAGGTAAGGAAGTAGAAGTCAAAACGTATCGAGGTATGATCGGATCCCTTCTCTATCTTACCGCTAGTAGGCCGGATATCATGTTTAGCGTATGCCTTTGCGCAAGGTATCAATCGTGTCCGAAGGAATCACACTTAACCGCGGTGAAACAGATCATGAAATACCTTGTCGGAACGGTTAATGTTGGACTGTGGTATCCAAAAGGCTCTTCTTGTCATCTCGTTGGCTATTCCGACTCAGACTTTGCCGGTTGCAAATTGGACCGTAAAAGTACGAGTGGGACTTTCCACTTACTTGGTAGCTCTCTAGTCTCATGGTTGAGTAAGAAACAAGTCAGTGTAGCGTTATCCACAACCGAAGCGGAATATGTAGCCGCCGGTAGCTGTTGTGCTCAAATCCTTTGGATGAAGCAACAACTCGTGGACTATGGCCTTAGTATCAATCACGTCCCTCTTCGTCGTGATAATACTAGCGCCGTAAGCTTGACGAAGGACCCCGTTCTTCATTCAAGGACGAAATACTTTGACATTAGGCATCATTTCATTAGAGATCATGTTCTCAAAGGTGATGTCGAAATTGAGTTTGTTGAAACACATAACCAATTAGCCGACATTTTCACAAAACCTTTAGAGAAAGAGTCGTTCTCCCGCATTCGAAGTGAACTCGGAATCCTTGACTCCACGATGATCTAAGTTGTGCATCTAAACTTGTTAAACATTTACTAACTTGAGCGTCGGAGAACTTTTTCTTTTTTTGCAGGTACCCCATTCATGAAATCATGGGGAACCATGCAAACAGCGCTGTCCAGGAGACCTAACAGCGCTGTTTAGAGAAACACCGTCTACCAGCTTGGGCCAACAACGCTGTACAACAAGCCAACAGCGCTGTTACAGGGAGTCCCTTTACCTTTGCTTTCCAGAAACTTTTTGAACATCGATGTCCCTTTTTCAAAACATCACTGTCTAACAAAACACCTTGTTTTCAAACAAAACCAGAAAGTTTTCCAACAGCGCTGTCCACCATTGCAACAGCGCTGTCCGTTTTTTACAAATTTTTTTCAATCGTAAAACAGAGATGTAGAGAAACCCAACAGCGCTATTCTAATTGGTTCAAACCCTTACACTTTTCCAGAAACTTTTAGAACATTGCTGTAGGGTACCCGACATCGCTGTCCATTTGACTCTTATTTTTTTAAAACTTGACGCAGAACAGCACTGTACAATGGCAAACAGCGCTGTCCCAACAGCGATGTCTCCTGTAGAACATTGCTGTTCTGGTCAAATTTTTCAAAAATATACCCGTTGGCAATAGCATTAATTGCTCCAACAGCCATTTTTTCAAATTCTGCACGTTGGAAACCCATCTCCCTATATATTTTGGTCATCTCTCTTCACTTTTACACACACAAACACAAATCTCTTCTATCCCCTTGCATATTTTATCTTCTCTAATCTATTTCTTGAGAAATCTTCATAATGGGCAAAGACAAGAGCAAGGCAGGAACTTCCGGCAAATCCAAGGCCAAATCCCGGGCACCGGCAACAAATTTGGAGGAGCGCCTCTACTAGGGCGATGGGTCGTACCTCTGGTTTGATTCCGAGGAGGAGCGCACCCGTTTCCTCACCTTCTTCTCTAAACGGGTTCTGGCTCCCCCGTGAATTGTCCCGGAGCGATTCCCCGAGTTGCAGGGCTATGACGACTTAGACGCGCAGCTCCATCAAGCCGGCCTATAGCCGTTCGTCTCCCAGGCTCGGAAGGAAATCAACCCGGCGCTGATTCGGGTCTTCTACTCCAACCTCCGGCGTGAGGACGACGTGCTCTACTCCCTTGTCAAGAGCACACCGATTGAGCTTTCCATTGAGCAGCTTGGGCGCATCGCCAGACTCCCCTTCTAAGGCGACGATGTCTCCCATTATGGCGGAGAGGACTGGGTGCTCAACAACGAGGGCCTTATCCTCAACGAGCTTGGCATCACCGAGCTCATCCACCATGCCTCGAGCCGCCCCACCATCCACTCCGCAAACCCCGAAGGCCGTCTCATCCTCTACATCGTGTCCCGGATCATAAACCCCCAGAAGCATGGCCACACAATCATGTCCGGTGAGGACCTCAAGCTCATCCACGCGATCATGCACACGGCCCTAATCAATTGGGCAAAGTTTGTCATGATCAACATGACGACCGCCGCGTCCACCGACCACGATCACCTCCTCCCGTACTCGTTTGTGGTAATGGACATCCTTGAACGGTTCAAGGTAACCACCACCGTTGGCCCGCTCACGAAGGCCACGAAGCTTTGGACGTTCAGCAACCAAACCTTCACAAAGCGGTCAGACAACGCCGCACTGCCACTGCCACTGGCCCAGCCGAACCCCAGGCCCGAGCCTCCATCGCCGACTCCCTCAACCGGCTCCACTTCAAAGTTGACAGGATGGAGGGCTATCTTGAACGGCTCGACGTGGCTGTTCAACGCCAAGGGAACTCCATGAACGCGTACTTCCAAGGCATCAACTACGTCCCTCCACCATTCCACGGCACATTCCTCGGGGAAGTGTACGGTGATGAGGACGAAGAGGATGGCTCCTACTCCCAGTCAAGCTCCCCGGACGAGGATAAGTTCGACGATGCCATTGATGGTGATGAGATGAACATCGACGACGACGAGGAGGAAACCGAAGACGAAGCCTAGGACTCCCCTAGATTTTCTATCTCTTTTCCCTCAATTATCATGCTATTTTTTCTTTTTCTTGCTTCCGTTGTACTCCACATTTCCCTTTAATAAATAAAATTATCTTTTATCTTTTTGTTAATGTCAAAAGGGGGAAGAAAAGGGCTATGCATATACTAAGGGGAACGCCTCTAAAAACGAGATCGTTTGATTTTAATCCGACTATTTTTTTAAGCACAAATTAAGGGGGAACTTTCTCACAACTCTTTGAAAAACAAATATCCCTTAGTATGCATATCCCCGTCTCTTTTGCCATTATCAAAAAGGGGGAAATTGTTGGAACACGGGTTTACGCCTACGTCGTACTAAACTGTGTTTGTTTTCTGACAGGTTTTGATAATGCCAAACCGCCGTGACATAACAGGACTAAAGTGAGCAAAACCAAGGCGAAGGAGCATGGCTTGATGATTTGAGAACCAAGAACCAGGAATCAAGAACGAAGACGTAGTATTGTATTGAGTCGGTCTTAATGTGTTCAAGACCGGCACAAACTTTCAAAACTTGGCTCTCTAGGCTCATTTGCTTTCTTTACTTTGTGGGTGAGTGGGAGTTATGTTCCCTCCCCCTTATCTTTTATTTCCTTTACTTTGCATTTTGGGTGAGTTGGAGACTTGTTCCTTCCACCCCTATCTTTATTTATGCGAATAAAACTGCTTTCTTTAAAAAAAAAAATAATAAAAAAATGTTTTCAAAACTTGTTTTTCATTTTGGAGAACTTACGTTTTTGACATCGGCTAACGGCTGACTAAACCAACCATGGGTCTGGCTAAAACCAGCCCAACAGCGATGTTGGTGAAACCAACAGCGCTGTCTGGCTTGGGTAGCTGAAAACCATGGTTTGGCGTTAAGTCTTCCAACAGCGATGTTGGATATTAGACATCGCTGTTGAGCAAAGGTTGGGTTTCCAGAAACATCTAGAACAGCGATGTAGCCTTCCCTACATCGCTGTCCAACCTAAGCCAAAAATAAAGTGCATTGGCAGAAAGTTTTTGGACAGCGATGTTGACCTAGCAACAGCGCTGTCAGGCCAAACTTCCACCTTCTAAGTCAAACCTAAACAGTGATTTTCAAGTAATGAACATCGATGTAGGGACCTGACTGTTGGAAGGAATTTAAGGCTAAAACTTTCCTTGTTTGGAAGTCAACAGCCAAAACAGCGATGTAGGGTTTTTGGAGATCGCTGTTGGCATGACCGTTGCTTCCTAATTTTAAAACCCAAGCCTAGAACAGCGATGACCAAGCTTAGGACACCGCTGTCTGGGTGAATTTTAGCAAATCCAAATTTAATCAAATCCAACAAACTATGCCAATCACCCCTTAAATGTTTTGATCCGTTGGAGCCTATTTTCCACTATAAAATGGGGTGTTTGGGTCTGTTTTACATATCACATTACTTCACAACTCCTACTCTTTCATTGCAAATCATTCATCCTTTATTCATAGCTTTTTGAGAGCCATTTTTTGTGAAGCTTGTGTTGTGTTCTTGAGCGTTCTTAGTTACTCATTATTCACTCTAAAAGAGAGCATTGTTCTTGAGTGTTCTTAGTGTTCTTAGACACTTGACAAGAGAAAATACTTCTCTTATTGTTCGAAGGAAGGGTTGTTTCCTTCGAAGGTTCGTTGAGGTTCGTGTGACTCGAACTCTCAAGTTGTACGTGTTTGTTAAGCACCGTTAAGCTTAACGAGATAGTAGTGTAGCTCGAGAGAGTCTCTCGGGAGGCTGGATTAGCCACAAGTTGTGGTGAACCAGGGTAAATTCGGTGTGCCTCTTACTCTTCTCTTTACTTCTCGTTTATTCATTTTTTAATTCCTGCGATTTCTTGATCAAACGCTATTCACCCCCCCCTCTAGCGTTGGTCTATTATTCTAACAAGTATAAGCAAAGTAACCAACTGCTACATGTAATGATAACCGAAGTCAATCTTCAGTCGGGCTCTACTCGTTCCGATGATAAAACTGAGTCTTTAATTTAAGACTAACACTAAATAATATCCTTTTTTCACAATTCATCCACTGCTCTCGCTGTCCATAATAAACTTTTCGTTGCACATTACAGTGATTGATTGCAGTTCTTTTAAAAGATTTTATGTGAAAATTGGTATGAAATTTTTAAAAAAGTTACATATCAAAAGACTATATCAAAACATATGCAAAACTGGATGTGACACAAATTTATTATTTTATCAAATAAATAACAAACATTAGTCAACAAAATCGTAGGAGTTTGAAAAAAAATTAACTTGAACAAGGAGTTCATTTCTAAAACTAAAAACTTTACATTTTTTTCTATTTTTAAAAAACGTGTCAAATCTACTACGTACATGTGAAAAAAAGGGATGGAGAACATTCTTTTTAAAACTTTTAAAATTTTGGCCAAAATATTGGCCAAAATCTACTACGTGCCAAAATATTGGCAAAGAAAAGGCCAAAACTTTTAAAATTTTGGCCAAAATCTACTAGGTGCCAAGCATACTCCCTCTAAAATTTTGGCCAAAATATTTCAAAAATTTCATCCACCCTCCAAAATTAAGCTGGAAGCTCATACGTAGCTTGTACCTGTACCTCCCAAAAATCGAGAACGCCTCCAGAAATTAACTTCACCTAATTCAATCAATTAATCCACTGTACTCTGAACTTCAATTCCTACCTCCGGTCGCCTCCTCACTCAATCTTCTCTTCTCCGATTGACTTCCCTCTGTGATATTAGAGCCATAACCTACCATTTTTGCCAAGATTGGAGTTGAAAACCCTAAAATTAGGTAAGTCGTAAACCTCAAATCTGGTATTCCCTCCAACAATAATCACCATATTTGTTTTCCCAAAATTGTCGAATTCCCTAAGGCCTCTTCTATGCATGCGTCTACCTCGCTGCTCAGATCCCCCCCCCCCAAAAGGTCAGGGTTACATTTCTCAATCCATTGAAGTAAAACTTCATTGGTTTGTTGTTATTCTTTTTATTTTACTATCTGCAAAGGGTTGCTTCCAGGATTCAAATCCTCACCATGTAGGTTACCATAAAGGGTTCAACCAATTCCTTAATTCGTTGAATGTGACCTGAGAGCAAGAATAATGAACAATTTTTTATCTAGAGTCAACTCAATACTCCTTCCATCCTTTTTAAAATATATTTAAAAAAATATTAAAGATAATACGTTTTTTTATCTCAATATATTGGTACAGACCTTTGTTGTTTTTGTAATGCTTGACATCAAAATTATTTTACTTTTTTAGTGTCCCTTATCACAATAACTCCTGAAAATTCACCTAAAAAATGAATGTGATAACCCAACTAAGAATTGAGGCAGAACCCACCTAAAAAATGAATGTGATAACCCAACTAAGAATTTTATATGTAAAATGGATAATCTAAATATGTGTTCTAACACATCTTAATTCTTAATGAAAAAAAGATTAAATCAAAACGTAGCCGAGACTATCCAAAAAACGATGGGAAAAAAACAACACATAAAGCCATACATGCATCGACGAAATGAATCGGCGTATATGGAAACCAAATACTCTAATAATCAAGGAGTACGAGAGAGAGAGAGAGAGAGAGAGAGAGAGAGAGAGAGAGTTACGGATGAGCGACGAAGGGAGGAAGACGAAGGTTGAGACAGAGAGTGTGTGCGGCGGAAATGAGGAGTAGGGTTGGGAGGATTCATATAATATCTAACTCTACTGGGCCGGAAATATATTTGGGCCGGAAATATATTTGGGCTTAGGTCTATAAAATATATAAAATATACACTTTCAATTTTATTTTATTTATGGACAAAAAAATTCTTAGTAGTGTAACGGTTGACCCAAGGGTTGTATATTTATGGACAATAAAATTTGATTTTATTTATGGACAATAAAATTCTTACCAGTGGTTAGCAATAAAATTCTTACGAGTGTCATCGAATTCGGGTTGCCCTAACGAGTTATGAGTTTCAATTATTTTTTTAAAATTTAAGAATTTTTTATGACTTAGTGTCAATATTACGAATAAAAAATTTAAATATGTAGAAATTTTGAAAAAAAATGTAAGATAATTATGTAACATCATTAAAATTTATTATGATGGTAGAAATATACACAAAAATTGAGTAGTAAGCAAAAAAAATATAATTATAATCTTATTTTTATAACACTATAGTTCATATTAAAATGTATGATTCTGAAAAAATCTTAGATTAGCGTGCCGGTCAGGTCAGATTCGTGTTTGATCCATTTTTAGCGTGTCGGTCATGTCGGGTTCGGGTTCGACATATTAAAATGTATGTTTATATTTTGTTTCTCTATTGATATTCCAAAGTATAAGAGATTTTTATATACAAAATTAAAGTATACACACATAAAATATGTGCAGACAAATTATAGTTGAAATATTGTTTAAGATTATTTTAAAATTTGGAAGGGGATATGGATATATCTGATATCCAACCGATATCCGACTGATGCGAACACGGTTTTGTATTTTAGTATTTGTCAAGATCCGTATCCGAATTTGATGCCGACAAAAATAAACGGATACAGATTTGGTAATGGTATATCCGATCCGATTAAAACAATTAATGGCCAAGTCAGAAAATGGCCAATTAACAATGTTAAATTATACAATGGTATTCCCAATCATGACTTCATGCGCTATGACAATTAGTAAAAGTCAGGGCCAATCTTTGTCCCGTGTTGGATTCTTACTGAAGAAACCGGTATTCAGTCATGATCAACTCTATGTTGCAATTTCTCGTGTTACAAGTTGCGAGGGGTTAAAGATATTGATTTGCAATAAAGACCTTCCATCAGCATACCAAACTACGAATGTAGTTTATAAAGAAGTGTTTCAAAACTTATAACATTGCATATCGTCTTTGGTCCTTAATGTGCACTACCTTATTTTGGGCTATTTTTTATAAAATTTGTTACATTTTAAATTTTGTATCATTTTATATTATTTCAAATCATGACTAAACATAAGTAATTTTACAGTCCGTGCATCGCACGGGTACGAGTCTAGTTGTAGTTATATACAAAGTTATTTCTCATCAAACCAAATTATATATATTTAGCTACAGTCTAATCAAATCACACCAGATTAGATCATCAGATCTAATTATAGTTATATTTAAAATTGTTTCTAATCTGATTTGATGAGATTTGATTCTATTATATGATATAACCTAATCTAATCTTATTGTACTTATACGTAAAGTTATTTATGATTAGATCAAATTAGATATTATTAGATACAATCTAACCAAATCATACCAGATTAGATTTGAAAAAACTTTATATATAATTACCATTATTTTAGATCAGATCTCATCAAACCAGTTCAGACCATATCAAACTGTTTCTAATCTTATCAGATCAGATCTAATCAGTGACTTGGGATAGAATGAGTCACCTAGAGAGAGACATGTATTGTTGAACAAACATATACTAGTACCGATATGGATAGGTAGGTACTGGTGAGTTGACTTATAAGCTACTTAATTATAAGTTAGGAAAAATAAGTATGTTTTAGGGAGAAAGACCAAAGTAGGACTAAAACATTGAAAATATACACTGCCACATTACCACAGTGCAAAGTCTTATTTTGGGGAAAAAAACATTAAAGTTCTATTTTGGTACTTTTCTCTATGTGTTAGTCCTATTTAGAGTGATTTTTATATGTTTTACCTGCTTTTTCAAGCAATTTTTTTGTTTCTCCGTTTCGACGAGATTATTTACAAAAAAATCGTTCGCCTATTATGAATACATTCAAATGACTTATAAATCATTACCAAAAGTATTGTAAAGTATTAATATATAGTAACAGATTATCACAATGCAAATATATTTTGGGAGATAAAAATATATACTCGTGTATTAGCACCTTCTTTATATTTGAGTAAATTCTGTAATTAGTCTTTTATAATAGGGGGGTTTCCCTATTTATTCCTCAATTATCAAATATTACTCCAGTGGTCCTTCTTTTATAGGTATCTTTCCACAAATAATCCTTTTTTTGATCTTCTATGATGTTAGTGTTAATTTGAGGGCTAAAAGTGTAATTTAACAATGATAATATATCTTTTTTGTCATACACAATTCCAAAGGTTGTTCCGTTTGCGTCGTTTGTGAATTAAGGCCGCTTTCTACTACAAACATAGTCTACAAATGTGGTCTTTCGTTGGAATCCTAGTCCACAATCATAGTCATTATTTTTGTGTTATCCGCTTAACCAATATCAGAACACGTCACTAGACATAATGTTGATGTAAAATTATATATTTAGCCTTCAAATTAACACTAACATGACAGAAGATCAAAAAAGGACCATTTATGGAAAGATACCTATAAAAGAAGGACCACTTGGGTAATATTTGATAATTGAGGACTAAATAGGGAAACCCCTCTGCTATAAAGGACCAATTATGGAATTTACTCTTTATATTTTACTCATATTAAAAATAAGGATAAAGCTATTTGTACCCCATCTTTTTGTACACCACTTTGTACCCCATAGGTTTGCACCAACACTTTGTGTTGGTGTAAAACTAATTTTAGTTAATGCACCAACACTTTGTGTCCGTGTAAATTTTTGTTAACGCACCTACACTTTTTGTAAGTGTAGCATGACCCTAAAAATAATCTTAATTTGGGATAGAGGATGTAAAACTTAAAATAGATAGTTGGGGGAGCGATTAAATCAAAGGAGGGAATAATTTTTTTAGCAGTAGGAGGGAAACAAATACTTCAAAAATTTCAATTTCCCCAAAATGTGCGTGCTAAACCAAAAATGTCTGTGTCCCCAAAAATTTCATTGAGTCGCTCGACATTGTTCTTGTAACATTATTCACCCACGATTCTCAAAGCTTCCTTCTTGATTTTTTGCTTGTTATCTGTCATTTTTAGAGCTTTAGATCCGACTTTCGCTGTTGATTCCCTTTTTGAGTTCATTTTCTTAAATTTGGGTCTTGATTGTGCCAGAATCGAAGGTCAACTCTCGAGGTTACTGTTCATTCGCGACCTTGTAGATTTCAATTCACATCGTTTCTTAATCGATTGAAGTCCAACTTTTTGGGTCTTTTGAGCAACTTGGGATGCACTTTCAAGGCTTGAAGTTGGTTTTCCATTCCAATTGAAGAATCCTTTGAAATTAGAAAATTCATGGATTTGGTGCGCTATTCACGACGTAGGTTTGTAGTCCGAATTTCAGTAGGTTTCTTACTTGTGTTTGCCCCAATTTTTATATTTTCTTGGTTGGTTTTTAGAGGTCTTTTAGTATCTATTATTGGATTTATGGTGTCACTGGTTCTTCAGGCCTTGTTGCACTAATTTGCTGGAGACTTCAAGGGTCTATTGCAGCTGTGAATGATAGTGGTGTGTGGTACCTCTTGGCTTGATGGTTTTTGAGGGATAACCCACATGTTTGTTATTCGTACCAGTAAACCACTGGGCAAATACTGGCCTTTGTGTATTTGTTTTGATTCGTGTTGAATTTGTTGGCGACATTCACCAAGTTCATAGCTTCTTTTGCTCCATTCTTTTAGTATGTTGGTCAGATTTTAGGGGTTTTTCATTGCCTTGAGTTGGTTTTTGTTTTAACAAACAGGTTCACCAGGTTCTTAGCTTCTTTTCAATCACATTACTCACTCGGTTCTTTTTTCTAGTTAAAATAGATTATGACTTATTTTTATAGGTGGTCATGCAGGAGTTATAATTTTACCTCTTTTGTCTCAGGTTTAAAAACTCATATGCAAAGTGCAAAACTGGTAAAACCTATAGTTAATGTCATATGTTTAACTTTTAAATTTTTAATGAGCAAGGCTAAACCTCTGTGTTCTTTATCTCTGGAGGAAATTTCATATCTCACCTCATGTATTCAGAATGGAGGCATTGAGGTTGTTAAGGTATTGTGAGCTCCAATAAGTGTGTATCCAAATTCTAGTTTTACTATTAAGTTGGTAATCATGCAATGGAAGTAACTTAAGAAACTATGTCAACTCATTGTCATTTCTAAATAGTTGATAGGTGTGATTGTTTCACTAAACTTAAGTTTTCCTTTTTCTTCATCCTATACCCCAGGCAAAAGCTGGTGCAGGATCTGCAACGATGTCCATTTTAAGCATTCATTTTTTTCTCTGTTTCACTTCTTTTTCTAACAATTCAATTGATGATATGGTTTATAATTGGTTTTGGTATATATGCAAAAAAGGATACAACGAATGGTAAGCTTATTGAAGACCAATGGTAAGCTTGTATTGATTGGTCTCCCGGAGAAACTCCTTGACTTTTCGGCGTTTCCCTAGCTTAACCATGGGTATGTGATACTAGCCACACTTCCATTCACGTGTTGTACATATCTCTGCTCCACCTTGGCATTGATCTAAAATGAACTAAATGACATTAATTTCATGTTGTGATTGTGGATCGCAGGCAGAAAACTGGTTGTAGGAAGTGGCATCGGTGGAATAAAAGAGACTCGATGAACTTCTCAGCCAACATAACATCACGCCCGATGTTGAGATTGTGGCGGTGGACTATGTCAACACCGCCATGGAATGCCTGGCCAAAGCCGATGTGAAAAACAGATTCGTATTGAATTTTTCCACGGAGTATTACTAAACCAGATCACCATTTTGCAGGTGTGCTGTTCTTATTCTGTTCTTCCACTGCAATATACTCTCTGCCTGGCCCAAGGACTTAACAACATTGATGTATACTATCTTTGCACTTCCACACTTTACATAAACTGGAATTCTGGTGATGTCATACTTAAATTCTTAATGTAATTTTTTAATAACAAATGGGATCCTCTATTCCACTGTCCCTATTCCATTGCAGTGCCACTTATTCTAATTGGGCAAAATCATATTTATTACTGTTTCCTTTTTTATCATATTAATTAATCAATAGACATCAATCAACCATGTGGGCATCTATGATGACTCATACCCATATGAGATAGGGAAAGTGGGAAAGTATTTGAACTCCATTTTAACTCGCTCTCTAGCTATATTTCTTTTTTCATCTGAAACGCTACTGCTACATGTAGTAGATGATTTGCTTAGCACAATTGGTGAACTACAGGTACAATTTAGCAAGTTGTTTGAAAGCAGAAAACCAACAATCAAGCTATCTTATGGGGAATTTCACCTCCTTGCTCCTTCATTGAACTTGTCCCTTCAATAACAGGTTCAACCAACTCCATGGAATGGCTAGAGATTATATGTTCTAGGTGGCTGTCTCCAACAATTGGTTCTTGATTCACAATGATCATTTCAGGAGTTATTCAATCCACGAAGATTCTAAAGGATTGGGTTCCTCACTTGTTCCTCTGTAGGAGCAACAACCTGTATCATATGAATAAGATGGATTAAAGAGGCAGACATGTAGAATATGTAAATTGTAAGGAAGATGATGTAAATATTAAAATATTAAATTATTAGATATTTATAATATTTTAAATGTATGAATTTATATATTGTTCAATATATTGTATTTTTGAATTTATATTTATTTGGTAATAAACACAAGATAACAGATGTCTAATAAAAAATTTAACTATCATTCAAACTAATAGTTTGAAGAGTATATGTACAATTACACAAACCCGTAGTGTTAATAACATTTAGACAATCAAAACAAACAGTTGTTTGAAATACTACAAAAATAGTAGTTCATATTATTAAAATACAATGTGAAATAATAGATGTCTGAAACAAATTTCTTTACTAATCTTTAGAGTAGCTGTCTGATAAACAATTCAACTACTGTCATAAAAGATAGTTTGAATACTTCAAGGAAAACTACAAAACACCGTTGTGTTAATAATCAATATACAATTAAAACAAAAAGTTGTTTGAATAAGAATAATGTTAGTAGTCCATATTCTAGAAATACAACAAAAGATAACAGTTGTCTGATGCTATTTTTGTTTAGTAGTCTTCCGAGCAACAGTTTGATATATCTTTCAATTACTTTTTAAAGATGTCTATATTGTTGAACGACAACACCAAGAATTAGGAGTCTGAAGTTAAAAACAACAGTAGTATTCATTGTAGATAGACAACAAAAATTCACAGTTTTCTTTAACTCTAAAAAACAGATGTCTTACTCATACAAGGACAACACTAAAAATTCGTACTCTAAAACATTACAAAACAGGTGTCGTCAACCATTTTACACAATTGTTTTTAAACAATAGTCTGTAAATATATCTCAGAGAGCTGCTCGGAAGACTACTAAAATCAGCACTGTGAGACTACTAAAAGAAAAAGTTGTCAGTACCTTTCTGTTTTTAACGTAGTGAATGTTTCCATTGTACTTTATTTAAAATACTACCTTTTTGATGCACTGTCCTTTTTCTGCAGAAAGTCCATGATGAGCATGTGAAGAGAGCTAAGGAAAACAAATATCCTCATCGCTTGTCCCGAAAAGGCTATGCAAACCTAGAACAGGAATGGGTTAGTACTCACTGATTTATGCGGAGTTCTATGTTAGGAGTATTCCTCTTCTACATGTACATTTTGACTATGATACATTTGTGATCGCCTGCTTTCCTCTTTTATGTTCCTTGTTTTCTTTTCGTTTGGCCCTTTGTTGGGGATGGGCCACCCCCTCCTTTTTTGTACTGATACGAACTCGTATCGGATAGGGAAGACTCAGAGCGTCTTCGAGCTCTTGAGAATATGGGACGAGGAAGAAGAAGAAGAATTGAGGCGAAGAGGGAATCGGCGAACCGAGAGGGGAGAAGGAATTAGGGTTTTGAGTTGTTTATTGATTGAATAACTCTAAAGGGGGTTACATCTCCTTATATAGGAAAGAAGGAAACCCTAACGCTAACCTGACGGTTCAATAAAAGCGACGAGGGAAAGAACCGTAAAGAAACCTCGAAGGAGCTTATAATTCCGCTCACCTAATAAAACCTAAATTACATTAATAATAATAATAATAATAATACTAAATATCATACTCTATTATCCATAACACTCTCACCCCCTTAGAAAATCACCTTGTCCTCAAGGTGGAGGCTCCCACTCATGCTTCGAGACTCGAGAGAAAATGTTGACCCAAAGATTATGCCCACTTGATGATAGATCTTCATTAAGCCTGTAAATTGGAGTATAGCGATGGACATAAGAGAGAAGAGCAAATACAAACTTAGCTACCGGCGGTGAAACCCAATACTCGGACTCCACTATATTCGCATGGGCAGAGGACTGGATGATATCAAAGGACAGTGAGATGTCTGCTTGCGTATAATTTACATCTGCTACTTGGGCCGTTTTGGACGAAGGCACAAGGCTACATGCGATGATGACATTGCTCAATGTTGGATCCTTTGCAACTTCTCCCTTACCCGGTGCATCTACGTGCGTATCAACAGCGACAAGATCTGATGGAAAGGCATTAACAATATTTTCAACAGAATCACCATGAGCATCAACTGCAGGAACTCTCACTGAATCCCCAATCGTACGCTCCACAGATTCCATGTCAGTAGATGTAGGATTGTGTAGAGTGGTTGTGGGGACCAAATCAGGTGGAGCAATGGGAATGCCGAGAAGATTCCTTATAGCATTCATCATCCTTATTTTGAAACCTTTTAACTCAAAGGGAATATCAATCAATGCCATTGGAGTACCACGCACCAAATCTTGTATCGAGCAAGAGATTTCCACATTGAACGCATACAACTCAGAATCAGAATACGGTAGATCTAAAAGATGACGAAATAAGTGGAGCGTCTTCAAAATTTCATCCACATGATCATAAGCTACTCCTACTCCTTCGTGGAACTCATTTTTTCCATAAAAAATTTTCTTTAATAAACCAAGAAGTTCGTTCAAAGCCATGTCCATCGCACTGATAATTTTATCAAAAGTCGAAGCCATAGTTGTGGCAAGTGAGATCCAAAAAAAATCAATGCACTCAAAATTGAAGGTAAATCCTTAGAGACAACACAACAATGCAGCAAAACACTTCTCTCTTTTTTTTCCGATCGTGCCGCTGAAACTTTGAAGGATTCAGCTTTTTTTCGCTCACGTAGACTGAATTAATCTCCCAACACAAACCAACCAAAATCACAAACCAACAAATATAATATGGAGTTTAGAACTTCAGGGAGGTACTCTTACGACAAAAACATGGAGAATTCCAATTTGGAAATTCTTTTTGCAGCTCTTCGGCTATTGGGGCTTTGATCCTGTGAGATGGTTTTTTTTCAATCGGCAGCAGCAATGAGGAAAAAAAAGGACTGGCGGCGTGCAGATCTCCTTCCGGCTGTTTTGGACCCCTTTTTTTTGGTGAGTTCGACTCTCAATGAAAGCACCAATGATACGAACTCGTATCGGATAGGGAAGACTCAGAGCGTCTTCGAGCTCTTGAGAATATGGGACGAGGAAGAAGAAGAAGAATTGAGGCGAAGAGGGAATCGGCGAACCGAGAGGGGAGAAGGAATTAGGGTTTTGATTTGTTTATTGATTGAATAACTCTAAAGGGGGTAACATCTCCTTATATAGAAAAGAAGGAAACCCTAATGCTAACCTGACGGTTCAATAAAAGCGACGAGGGAAAGAACCGTAAAGAAACCTCGAAGGAGCTTATAATTCCGCTCACCTAATAAAACCTAAATTACATTAATAATAATAATAATACTAAATATCATACTCTATTATCCATAACATGTACTTCTTTCTTTTATAATAAAAATAAAATTAACTATATATATATATATATATATATATATATATATATATATATATATATACTTACTTCCATGTATGTATTTATTTTCTTGTAAGTAGTTCTTTCCATGTATGTACTAGGGCTTGGCCCAACTCACGTGTATTTATACGTTGTGAATATTCAATAGAAAACCATACAATCTTTCACAAAATTCTACAGGTTTACATTGATACAAGGTGTTGGTGCATTAACAAATTTTTACATTGACACAAAATATTAGGCGTAACAAACATTAGCATTACATCAACACAAAATATTGGTGCATCCCTGCAGTGTACCAAATCTGGTACAAATCTTTGGGGTACAAATAGCTTTACCCAAAATAAAATCAGGGAGAAAGGCAGAAAATCAAACCTTGCTCGAACAATTTGATGAAGTCCGCATTTGTGTGCCTTTGTGTTTGAATAAAAAAGATTAGTTTTTTACCATATCCATACAAATGAAGGAGGATAGGTATAGGGAGAGAGAGAGAGTGAGGATGACGGAGACGGACCGTAGTCTGTATAAGGAATGCGTGTGGTAAGTTCTAGGGGTGGCATATTTAATTATGTCCATTTTTTGTTAAATAAAAATGGTTGGGGTTGTAATTCAACAAAAAAAAATGAATTTATCTAAATAAGACTAAAATATTATCTTTCTAAACATAGGACTAAATGTTTTTTCAAATGTTAGTTATTATTTAAGCAAATGTCCACCATCACTGGATATTATTCCTCGCATTAAACGCATTTTTAAATCCTATTTAGAAAATAAAAATATTTAAATTCTACATTGGGAAATGACTTATGTTTTAGTCTAATTTATTGCAAATTTTTAAAAAATGCCTACCAATACCTTCTTTGTTTTTTAAATTTATTTCTAAAATTCATATGGTTTCAAAATGTTGCACGTGCATCTCCTCCAATTATTTTTTTTGATATTTTTCCAGTAAAAAGTGGAGCGTTCGTGCCTAATTTTCAACTACAAGGGGCACGGGTAGGGTGGACACGGTACCGGTACGGTACCGTGACCGGAAATGGTACCGCCGGTACCCGCCACCGTCACCGCCGCCGGGACGTTCCACCGGTTCCGGGAACCGGTACCGGTACCGCCCTTTCCGGTACGGGTTCCGGTATCCAATTTTCGGTACCGGTACCGACGGTTCCGGTTCCGGTACCGTTATTAAATTTTTTTTATTTTTTTATTTCATTCTTTCCTTTATCAATTGCATTTTTAATTTTTTTATTTCATCTTTTTCTTTAACAATTGTACATTTACAATTTTACACTTTAAAAATTTAATAAAAAAGCAAAAAAAAAAAAAGAAAATTGTGGGTGGCCGAAACCAGCCGATCCGGTACCGGAACCGGTACCGGCCGGTACGGTACCGATACCGGTACCAAGGGGTGGCGGTACCGGAACCGGAACCGTCCCGGAACCGTATCGTGTCCACCCCTAGGCACGGGTACTCTTTTTTTCATTTCTTTTTGGTTTTTTCCCACTTATTTTCTCTATTTGTATCTTTCATATATGAAGGTTTTTTAATTTCTTTATATTTTTTTAATAATGTTCTTAAAAAGTTTAATAATGTTTGTTTAAAGTAAAAAAAAATAGAGTAATTAACACTTAATGCATTTGTACGTCTCATATTAAACAATTTATTTTTGTTTTCCAAAATATTTTTGAGGAACTTCAAAAAATGAGGAATAATACAAGAAATAAATTAAAAAATCAAAATGAATATATTTTTACATCCCAATTCTAAGAACTTTTTTATACGTTATAAATCTTTTTGTATAATCATATTTTTGTATGTTTCAATTTTTTTCATTTCATTTTTCCATATTTTTTTTTTTCATTTATTTTTTTGAATATCCAATTTTTTTAACTCCATAAAAAATTAAAATATTTATTTTGAGATAGATGGAGTATATGTTTGATTTTTTCCTTTTTTATTTTTATTTCAAACACAAACCATTTCGAATTTAGAAAAAACTATAAAACAATTAGAAATGAAATTTAAAAATATTCTAAGAAAATGAGACAAAGAGAGGAAAAAAGAGTTACAAAAGGAAAAAAATAAATCTAAAATTAGAAGATAGTTGTTGCCCCGTGTGGTTTCGGAAATGGCAAATTTTATGTAGGACCTAAGGTCGATCATGAATCCACATATGAGCGAAATAAGCATTTGTCCTTTTATTCTCTTTCTCTGTTTTCTTCTTTCCCTCTTCTTTGTCCTTTTATTCTCTTTCTTCTCCCCCTCCGTTTCTCATCTCTTCTTTCCCCTCTGTCTTTTCTATTCTTTCTTCTTCTTCTTCGGATTCTTCGTCGTCTTCTTCGGATTCATCATTATCTTCTTTGGATTATTCGGATTTGGTCCAGATCTTATAAATATAATTCAAATCTATGAAGGATTTTAGGACCGACAAATGATCTTCTTCTTCCGGTTTTCTTCATCTTTTTTAATTTTTTTCCAACATGAAATCTTTCTGATTTTTGAATGATAGGGTTGGGCGGTAGCCAGCGATTGAAGGTGTAGGATCGAACATTGAGGGAGTGGGTGACCGTATAGTGGGGCAGGGAAAGGGGTGAGAAAAGGGTGATGGCATAATTAGAAAATCAATGTAAATTCCATAATGAGTCCTTTATAACAGGCGGGTTTCCATATTTAGTCCTGTATTATCAAATATTACCCTCGTAGTCCTTTTTTTAAGGGTACCTTTCCACAAAAGGTCCTTTTTTTGATCTTTTGCCGTGTTGGTGTTAATTTAAAGGCTAAAAGTATAATTTGACGTCAACATTATGTCTAGTGATGTGTTCTGATATTGGTTAAGTGGATAACACAAAAATAATGACTATGATTGTGGGTTAGGATTCTGACGAAAGATCACATTTGTAGACTATAGTTGTCATAAAAAGCGACTGTAATTCAAAAACGACGCAAACGGAACAGTCTTTGAAATTGTGTATGACAAAAAAGATATATTATCATTGTGAAATTACACTTTTAGCCTTCAAATTAACACCAACATGATAGAAGATCAAAAAAGGACTATTTGTGGAAAGGTACCCATAAAAGAAGGACCATTTGGGTAATATTTGATAATAGAGGACTAAATAGGGAAATCCCTCTATCATAAAGGACCAATTATAGAATTTACTCTAAAATTTAACATGTCTTAATCTTCGTGCCGGGTCAAAGTATGAACATTAAAAATGGACAGAGGGAGTAGACAACAACAACAACAACAACCCAGGTGAATCCCACAATAGTAGGGTCTGGGGAGGGTGTGTGTACGCAGACTTTGCCCCTACTCAGAAGTAGGGAGGCTGTTTCCAAGAGATCCCCGGCTCCACCTGCACAAAAATATGGAAGGGAACACAGTATAACACAGATAAAGTACCAAGTACAAGCAACAAGTACAAGCAATAGTAGAAGATTCCAAACAAATACAACACACTACAAAACAACCTCTACAACACCGAGCTCCTATCCAGCTACTCTAATCCTAGTTTTCCAAAGGTTCCTATCTAGGGCCATATCCTCAGTCAGGTCGAGAAGTCCTAAATCCTGCCTAATCACCTCCTTCCAATTCTTCCTAGGTCTACCCCTGCCCCTACTTCCCCCGATAATCGTAATCCTCTCGCATCTCCGTACAGAGGCGTCAGCATCCCACCGTCTCACATGGCCAAACCATCTCAACCTCGTTTCCCGCAACTTATCTTCCACTGGTGCCATGCCTACCTGACGTTGGATAACTTCGTTCAAAATCCTATCCAACCTTGTCTTCCCACACATCCATCGTAACATCCGCATCTCCGCCGCATGCAGACGACACACATGAGTCTTCTTAACCGCCCAACACTCTACCCCATATAACATAGCAGGTCTGACTACGGATCGATAGAACTTACCTTTCATTCTAGGCGAAATCTTCGGATCACATAACACCCCTGAAGCTAACCGCCATTTGGCCCAAGCCACTCCAACACGATGTTCAACATCTGCATCTAACTCCCCATCAGCCTGGATTACCGAGCCAAGATATCGAAACCTGTCTACCTTAGGTACTAGGTGAGAGTCAATCCTGACTTCCACCTCTGAATCTGTATCATGGCCGCTGAAATGACATTCCATGTATTCAGTCTTGTTTCTTCTTATTCTGAATCCTTTAGTCTCAAGGGCAAGACGTCATAATTCCAACTTATCGTTTAGTCCCTCACGTGTGTCGTCGATAAGCACAATATCATCCGCGAAAAGCATGCACCATGGGACCCCTTCTTGAACACCTTGAGTTAGGACGTCCATCACCAAGGCGAACAAAAAAGGGCTAAGGGCAGACCCCGGTTCAACCCCATCCCTACCGAGAAAGAATCTGAGTCGTCCCCGGAAGTCCTTACCTTGGTCATAGCCCCATCGTATATATCCTTGATCGCGCGAGTGTACACGATGGGAACTCCTCTCGCCTCAAGGCACCTCCATAAGACGATAGAGGGAGTAGAAAATATACAAAAGTAGAAGTTATGTATTTTTATTTTCTAAATAAGGCTTCGCATTGTAGTAATGTGATATTGCACATTTACATTTTACTATACTTTTTGGTAATATACATAATCATGATTAGTAATGTAAAACATTTTAACTTTTATTTTGTGAATAAAATTATAAAATTCATATTTTGGTATATTTTCAATGTTTTACTCCTACTTTACACTTTTTCCTATCATTTTAATACTCCATAGATTTTACTCTATCAACCCAATGATATATTTCTAACTTCTCTTTTCCAGGTCCATATTTTTTTTACCACATACTCCGTAGAATCTTAGAAAGCGGGGCAATCAAGTATGCAGTCGAGAAAATAGCATCATAAATGCGAAATTTGTCTGAATCAGTAATTTCAAAAGACAAATCACAAATCCACAAGTGTCTGAAAACCTGTCGCTTCCAAAAGCCATCTCTTCGCTAAGTGGAGACCCAAAATAACAATAATCGCCTATACAGATCAAATGGTTTGGTTGTATATAAATATGTATTATACTGAAATAATAAGCAGAAAGTCCCACGGGCATCCTAGAAATATCACCCACACAACCATTAATTACTACGGGCTACTGCTGAAACGAAATGGAATAGGAGCCTGTATTTGGATCTTTGACTGCTTTGAAGTTGTCGACGCTCATCCCAAACCGCCCCAAAATGGAATTTCCCATTTCTTTCAGCTTGCCTGCACAAACACGGCAAAACAATACATTGAAATTACTTTAGGGTCCGTTTGGTATAAGGAATTGGCGGAATTGGAATTGAATTGGAATTGAAATTCCATGAAATTCAATTCCATAGAATTGAATTCTGTCAATTTTAATTCATTTTTTGCACTATCAATTCCAAATCTACATAATTTTTGTGTTACCAAACACTAGAATTGGAATTGAAGTCCCCAATTCCAATTCCATAGTTTGAATTCCATGTACCAAACGGGACCTTAAAAACACAGAAACATAAATTTACACATTCAAAGTAGGGAATAGATCATAGTGAATAACAAGCTTCCTACATGTTATTTTATTCCGGTCCTTTTTTTGCGATGAAAGAGTTGGCAAATGATACCATATATGGGGGGAATGTGTCACAAACAGCACGGGACTAGAAATGAAGCCAATTCAGATCTAAGTATATACTACCTACGTATTTGTCTAGTTTGACTCTTCGGAGTCATTAAATAAAAACTATAATGCATATTAGTGATATAGTGTAAAAATTATTTAATTATATTTATGTAATTGAGAACTTCCAAACTTTTATTTCATTTTATTAATATGCAATACAAAATGAGATTAATTGAAGTTTAAAGTTTATCTAATTTGATCCAAAAAAGTCAAACTAGATGAACACACTGGGACGGAAGGAGTGGCATATAACTGTGACGGAGTACTTGTTAAGTTGTTGGCTACAGTTCAAATACCAGTTATTTTGAATTTCCTTAGAAAAAGAAGTTGCTAGTTTTGAATAAGTAGTGAGTGCCAAGTCCGTTCTAATATATAAGTGGAGAAGTTTAAAGCTCACCAATCATTTCTTCCTTCATCTTTTCGTGCTTTTCATCCGCTAATGGTTTCAAACGAACAAGAGCTCTTCTAGCTTGGTCATGTGAAGGTTCCAACTCCAAGATACTTTTCATGTCTATATGAGGATGAAACATAAGAAACGTCTTAACTTTTAAATATAGTAGATAATCACACACGAAAATGTTTGTAACATTTTTTTAAGCAAACTCCCTCCATCCCACAAATAACTTCACACTTTTCCCTTTTTGACACCCCAAAATTCCTTAATGGAAAGGAATATGTGGCTCAAAAGGCTTCTCTTTCTTCTATACAAATTCAACGACACTTTTCACTTATTCACAATTCTCTTGAAATTTGTGAAGTCAAATAATGAACTTAATTATAGGTCGGAGGAAGTACAAAATAACATTATTCCAATGAGGGGATGGTTTAAAATGAGTTGAGAGGGATGAGCATGGACTTTCAGTCCATCACATCATGATCTAAATCTGTAGGACGTTCAACATGGAAATTTAACCTCTCATGAGGAAGTAATGGGGTCAATGCCCTATAAACGACCACACCCACACAAGCACATGCACAAACAAACACACAAGCACACATAGAGGCACACACAAGAAAGGAATAAAAGGAAATATATATGTGTACGATAAATGACAATCTGGCAGATTGTCAGAATGAAATATATTGACCTTTGATAGCCTCATCATAATGGTCAAGCTTTTCATGAGCCTCTGCCCTTCTAAGCAATGCTTTCAAATATGTAGGGTTTAGTTCTAGTGCTTTGGTGCATTCCTTGATTGTTTCAGCATAGTTACCCTGTCATTCAAAAAAAAACATAATTACTACGGATTACAACACAAGGAAAACCCCAACCAAGACTTAACAAACACATCAAAGAAAACTTTCACGTTTCTTGGGAAACATTCACATGCATTGGGCTAAGATTTTTGGCATTCCCTAAGATTATATATATAAAATGTCATATACAGTTTAGGCATTGCCGCCCTCCCTCCCTCCCACCCATGATTTGAGGATTAAAAAACTAGACTTTCACAAGCTCATGGATAGTGACCGAGTTGGACTAATCGAAGGCAATAACAGAATCAAGGAGACAAGGACAAATCATGAATGAAGAACCACGGATATGTTGTTTCATGAAGGGGAAATAACAAGTGATAGCAGTCATCCACCCACCCTACAAAAAGAAAAAAACCCTTGCCCCGCAATGAAAGATAACGCCTCCACTACCAGGAAGAGCTTTACTTTAAGCGTACTGACATGTGTAAAATAAGTAAAGTGAATCAATCACTGGTTACATACTGAAATTAGTTCCCCTTACTTCCTGCTCCATCGTGATGCATGGAGCCTGTACTTTTTTCAAATACAAATATAAATCAATTTGTCTCCCATTTGTCCTTCTAAGCCACAAATCCTATCCTATGGAACCTGCAACTCATGATGCCTCATTACTTCTATTTCCAGAGGGTTTGTCCACAAACTGTGGGAGTGAACCTTGACCATTAGTATTAACTTTCTACTTCCTAGATAAAGCACAAAATTTTAAATAACGGAAAAGTCATACGTGGAAGGTACAAAAACCCCACCACTACCATCCCCCCCCCCCCACACAAATACACACACACACACACACACAGAAACACTAAAATGATAAACACTCATTTAAGGGCCTTTGGTGCTTGTCATCCCCTTGTACCTGTTTTTCCTATGAGATAAAAATTTTTTTAACACACACTAACTCACTCTGATTATTCTCCCCCATTCCAAACAAGTGTGCTATTTTAAAACTTAATTTCTAATAAAAACAAGTGTTGTTTGGGCAAAAGAAGTTTATTTTCAATATAGTTAATGTTTTTTGATAAAATAAGACTCTGGTCGGGAAGGGGAAGCAGGTAGACGCAAGAAGAGTTGGAAAAAGGCAATTAGAAAAAACTTACAACTTCGAGATCTTACTAAGGATATGACCTTAGAAAAGAGCACACAGAAATCAAGGACTAGAGTGGTTGGGTAGACCTTTGGGCCTTACTTTGTTGTTTTTATTGTGTGTTTTAAATTTAGTATTTAGCTTGTGTCTGTGTGCTTTTTGTGGTTTGAGTCTAATTGCTAGGGTTAATATGTGTCCTTTTTGTCACGAACTCATGATGCTTTTACTTTGTTAGTGCTTCTGTTTTTATTCTGTCTGTGCTTCTGTGTTTGAGTAAAATGTCTCTTGGAAACACCCTCTCTACTTCCAATTAAGGGGAAGCTCTGCAGTCTGCATACACCCTCCCCAAAACCTACTTTTTGTGAGATTCGAATGGGTTTATTGTTGTTATTGTTGTTGCTGTAAATTTAGTTAGACCAACAAATAAGTTTAAAATTATAATATCATTGATGGTTTCCAATTGTTGTGCCTTACTAAAAATCAAAGGTTGTAGCTTGATGGGTTGATGAAATATGACTGTTTTATAGAATGGAGAGAGTAATATTAAATGAGTTTATATTAATCAAACTGTCAGACATGTATTTTGGACAATTCAGAGAAAAAAACACCCTAAGATTGATCTTGTAGTCCAAACCCATTGAAGAAACTAGCACCTCGAAGATCGGTCTAGAACACTTGCTAGAAACAAACTTACCAGTTTAGAGAAACAAGAAGCACGATTTGCATGGCATATTGATTGAATTTCAGTAGACATAGGAGCATTTCTCACAGCTTGCAAAGCTTGCTCGTACTTCAATAATGCCTCTTCATGAAGCCCATCCCTGAACAATGAATTTCCTTCAAGCTTGAGATCATTAGCCAGACCAATTGCAGTCTGATGATCAAACACGGAAATTGATGTCAATAACTCAGTCGCAAACAGCTTTCACTATGAAAGAGCAAAAGGTATAACACATGAATCAAACACATATGCAGCTTCACAGGGGTTGTGTGTGTGCATATATGTATATGTGTGTATGTTATTGTGCATGCATACATTTGTTTCTGTGTGTAGATTGTTAACGAACACATTAACTACAACTAAAGAAACAGGGAACACAGAATTAGCATCAGGTGACAGAGAAGGAACACTACCACACAATTGCCCAAACACTTCCTATAGTCAATTTTCCTCTCAAACAAACAGCCAAACAGGGGGCAAGTGAACAACAACAACAACAACAACAACAACAACCCAGTTGGATCCCACGAAAAGGGGGCGGCATAAAAATTGTGCGCGGCTCCCAGCTCCTACGTTTCCCAATACACATACAAGAAATGAAGAAATGTATGTGTACTCAGAATATCAAAACCTAACATTGATAAAAACAAAAAAATATAGCAACATATGTAGGGAGGTCATAAGTACCAGAGATTGTTATTATCTACTCAGGGTAAATATAATCAACACACCCAATCACAGCAAGTTTATTATAAGGCACTAACAAATACCATTAATTACGATATAATAACATCAATTTATATAAAATATAGTGACTCTAACATTAAGCTTGCTTCATTCAAAATTATCGAATGCAAATATGCCTAAGCAATATAAGATTTCAGGAAAAATCTATTGAGAAGGGGAGAACCTCATTCAGTTTATCCATATCCGGTTCGGTTTCATGTTCCTGTCCCTCTTCATGCCCAGCCGAAGTAGACAACTTTGTTGCAGGGTTCGTATTATCATTTTTTACTTTTTCTTCTGGTATACTACTATGGCTGTGGGTGTGTTCACCTTCCTTCCCTTCTGCCTCATCGGACTCGTTAAGTTCAGTTTCGCTAGCAGTCTCATAACCATCGGAACAATATCCAGAAGCCGCCACAGCACCACCAGATGCAGCGGACGAAACGCCGTCAGCCGAAGCTTCCGCTGCCTTGACTACGAGCGGATTTCTCACCGATATTTCTTCAGAGGATGTCACGGGTTCGATCAACACCATATCTGCGTTCCGATTTGTCTGTCTGATTGCCGTCTGCTAGAGTGTAGTCGAAGTCTGTTGGAAGAAAACGCGAAGGATCTGGATCATGGGTAAGGCCCGATGCAAATTAAAGGATAGCGCCGGGTTTCGACTTTCGAGAGCTCTCTAGTTAACTACTATCACACCTGTCACGCGTTGCACGGGTCATATTTACGTTATTAAATTAAATTTTTTCTTCAACGGCCATATTTAAAAGTGCACTTGAAAGAAACTAATTACGAAAATCCTTGCAAATGATCGCATTTATACTATGAAAAGTTTTTGGCTTATTCTATTTTCCTTTTTCAAAATTTTTATTTTTAAAATTACAATGTAATTTTTTTGGCCAAATTACACGGTTGGTGTTACTTACCATTTCAACATTCCTTTTTTAACTTAAATTTTTAATTATCAACGTGTATTTATGATTCTTTCTTACCAAACCGTATATAAGAAAAACACTTTATTTAAAATACCTAAAAAGTATAAATGGAAATACAACTGTAATTTTAATTTGGTTACTTTAAGATGTGAGAATATTTTTTTGTTCAAGGCAACATTTTTTTAAAGATAGTAATTTTTTATACATGGTACCCGCAAAAAAGAAACATACCTTTTTTAATAATACTATTACATTGATTATAATGAAGTTACCTTATTTAAAATACGTATAAAGTAAAAAAAGGAAAGATAATTATTTGTTGAAGTTACCTTAAATTTTTAATTATCAATGTGTATTTATGATTCATTCTTACCAAAGTCGTGCATAAAGAAATCACTTTATTTAAAATAACGAAAAAGTATAAATGCAAATACAACTGTAATTTTAATTTCGATACTTTAAGGTATGATAATATTTTTTTTCGAGGCAATGCTTTCATGTTTTTTTCCAAAGACGGTAATATTTTAAACATGGTAATCACGTAAAAGGAACCTACCTTTATTATTATTATTATTATTATTATTATTATTATTATTATTATTATTATTATTATTATTACGTTGCTTATAATGAAATTGCCTTATTTAAAATATGTACAAATTAAAAACAAAAACACCGATATTTTTTGATCGATATTTTTTCACACTATCATTTCCATTTCCAAACCTTTAAATTTCATTTATAATATATAATGTTGGACCAAATAATATTTTTGGTGTGAGAATACTTTTATTTACACGGTATCATAAAAAGTATAAAAAGTAATATTTATACTTTTTGTAAAAAGGCATTTAAAAATTATACTTTTTATCCTCCGTGTTAATTATACTTTTTATAATACGGTACCATAATTAATATACTTTTTATAACACGTCATTAAAAATTTTAAGGTATGGAATTACCCTATTAATGAAAATATATTACATGGGTAATTTAATTACCATAATTACCTTTTACTCGGAATTTGAATTTACTATACACGGTACATTATAATTCATAAATATTTATTACTTTATACATGCCACTGTTGCATGTAACACTTACCTATTTATGTAAAGCGCTTCCCTTTTGTGATTGAAGACCATTTAGGTGAAAAAATGCAAAGGAGAATTCCCTTCTTTTTAAATATATCATACTCCCTTCGTCCTAAAATTTTATTTCCACTTCCCCTTTTTCTCCGTCCTAAAACTACCTTCCCATTAGAAAAAAAGATGACAAATGACATTAATACCCTCATGTATTTACACCAATTATCTTCTAACTCTATATTTTGAATGATGGCAGAATTTGAAATTTCATGGCAGTCTTCCATTCTGCGACGGATCTGCAACGAAATTTTTCTGTCGCAGAAAAGTTGTGGTAGATTTAAAATCTGCGACGGAATTAAAATTCCGTGGCAGATCTGCGACGGAACTGCAACAGAAGTTTCCATTTTTTTATCAAGCCAAATCTGCGGAGGAATTAAAGAACCGTTGCTGATCTGCGGCGGAATTAGCAACGGACGTGCCGTTGCAGATCTGCGACAGAAATAGCGACGGTAGGTTCCGTCGCAGATAACCTGAACACAGAACCATAATTTTCCTGTTTTTAGGCAATAGCTACTAAAATGGGGGGCAAAACACATTCAATTTTCACACACATAATTCTAAACAATATTTCAACATCCAAATTGATAATTCAAAGCTAGATTAATGAAAACTTCATGTGCGAATGTAACATAATTCATTATATTCTAACAATGAATATTAAAGTGTCAGTGTTCAAAATGGAGGAAGCAAAGGTCGTAAAGGTCTCAACAAATCCCGGGATGCCCTACCCCTCCCGTTACATCATCATCGCCTCGTCGAGGAAGGTTACCACCATATAGCCTCCTTATCTCCTCCTGAATCGTCAGCGATAAGCTCGAGGTTAGATTATCAATTTGTTCCTGCAGCCTTTGGTTTTGCTCTTTAAGTGCTGCCATCTCTGCTGCGCTGCTGCTACTCGTGCTGGAACGACGAGGTTTGGAGGACAGATTCATCTTCCTCATTTCCCGCTCGTAGTCACCAACTCCGGGAACGCGGTTCTTCACGTTATGGCCTTCGACTAGCGAGTACCATATTTCTTGGTCGGTGACTTGCAGCCCTTTCTGTCTAGCCTCCTCGCGCAGTTCGAAGAATTGGGCCTCAAATATATGATAGTTAATAAGACAAAACAACAACGCAATAATAATATCATCAAGAACAACAAGAGCTAGAACAACAACACAAGAACTTAACAACTAACATTACCATAGATCGATAACAGCGTAACATATACCTAGTGTTGACAGCACCATCAACGCAACAACAATAATAACAACGCGATTAACAATAACATCAACAACAAGAATAACATCAACAAGTACAATATAATTTAAGTACACAAGAAAGCGAATACAGTATAAAGTTTTAAGACAAAAGCACCAACATTATGAACATGAACACAAACTGTTTTGCGCATTACAGAAAGTACCTGTAGCTCAGCATGTTCTGGATCAACCCAAGTCTTGTCGTCGTGCTTCTTTGTCTTTGTGTGGATGATAACCTCATCCAACTGCACAGGCCCGCTTTTCTTCTTAGCCATCAAGTTTCAAAGGAAATGTCCATTAAATTTTACATTTAATATCCACCGAATAATAAGTGCAAAGCTATTATTCTATAAAATATATCTTACCAATCGATTCATATTTTCAGAAAATGAAATTGAACCTCCACAATACGTCCCAAGAGCATGACCATCCTCTCTTCCCTTCCTTCTGTTCTTCTTCTTCGTCTTACTCAACTCCAAAAACTCCGGATCCTCTTCCCAAACCTATACTTGTATATTTCATAAACATTACTTGTACATAGCGATACGATTTCCTATGAAAACCATTAATAATTTACCTTCTTCAACTGCTCAAATGGCCTCGGGTCCTTCTTCTTCTTCTTCAATCGAGTTGGGTTCCTTTGATTGTACATAAAATTCGCGTACCGTTCAGCAGCTTTCTTGAGAAAAACTTTCCTCAGCCTGCCCTCATCGATTGACAGATCCACTCGAGCATTTTTCTAAATTGACATCATAGAAAAGCCAATAACTTAGATTGTATTCACATATATTAATTTTCTTGTGATCAAAATAAGTTAAAAAATAATTTTTCCAAAAAACCTTAAACTCTCGATAGTAGAACTCCTTTGTCGTCTCTGAGACTTTGCGCCATGACATGTCAGCTGTGTCCATCCTCTCATAGAATGCTGGTGTGATGAGCCCAGCACCAGCTCTAGTGATTTTAACCCTACAAACATATATAAGTAGAATGCTAGTGTAAATGTTTTATGTCATACCATAATCTTCAAATGTACAGAGTACTTACTCGTCATCCGAATTGACATACACGAACTGACCCTGATGACCGGCACCCTCGTGATATCCACCCTCCTGGTCCTCATCATCCTGGACCTCGTCATCGTGGTCCTCGCCATCACGAGCCCCGCCACTGTGTCTATTGCCAACGCGGTCCTCAAAGTCGTGGTCATCGCCACCTCCGTCCTCCTGATCCCTAGTACTCTCCCCGACCCTAGATTCTATTTACACAATAACACAATATACATGCATTAAAAAGAGCTAATAACAAGCGTAGACATTAAGTTTCAGTTTCTTGATAAATGAAACACCACTCTAATGGCTTATCCGTTGGAAATTTTACTATATGTCTCTAAGAGGAGAGCTGCATACCTGACATACAAGGGCCAAATGGCGTAGTACGTGGGGTGGAGGGGGACACTTGCGTGTCAGTGAATGGACTCGACGTAATAGAGGGAGTGCCTGTGGATGTAGTGGCTGTGCTCGATCCCTGGCGAGAAGAGGGTCTCCATCTACCATTGACGAACCTCCTCAAACGTGCCAACACCTCTCTATCAGTCGGCGTGGGGGGAGGGGGGTTCTCATTGTTGCTCATCTGTACAAAAAAAACGAAAATCTTATTAAACCATAAACAACAATCATGTAAATACAGATATCAACCTATAATGCACTCAATTTCACAAAATTGAAGTAAATTTTACCTTAATTCTCAATAAATGTCCAATTAACAAACACAATTTCAACTAAAATTACACCTTAAATACTATCAATTTCACGAAAAACTAATACAATTTTTACCCAATTTCATGTCAATTTCAACTCATATTCACACAATTTAAACTAAATTTTACCAAAAATGTACTTAATTTCACACAAACAAATTCAATTTCACCAAAAATTACAATAATAATAAATTTTATAAAATTAAAAAAAAATAACTTACCTTGAAATACACGGCAAAGAGGACCAACGGGGAAGACTGGCGGTCGAGTGGCGGTGGCGGCGAGTGGTGGTGAGGGAACTTGGTCGAGGGCGGCGGCGGCGAGAGCGTCGAGGGCTGCCGCAGCGCGGCGAGGGAGAGGGCTGGCGCGGCTGGACGGCTGACGGTCTAGGGATCTCGTGCGATGTGGGCTAACACTGGTAGCGGCGGCAGCGAGGGTGGCGCGCGCTGGCCGACGCAGCATGGCGAGGACGACGGCGAGGGAAGGCGCAGCTGAACGGCTGACGGGGGTTGAGGGATAGGCTTAAACTGATTTTGATTTTGCGTTGTGAGACTAAGATCCGATTTTAATAAAACCCCTGCGACGGGATGGATTCAGTCGCGGATTCTGTTGCAGTTCTGCGACGGAATAATAAAACCGTCGCAACTTTTCTGTGCAAAAATTGACCATCTTGGATGTTTTCAAATTTGTGACAGAACCATATTTTCCGTTGCAGATCTGCGAAGGAATATGTAATTCCGTCGTAGATAATTTTCATTTTTCATTAATAATTCGTCCGTCGCAGATTTGTTGCAGATCTACTACGGAAACAAGTCCGTAGCAGATTTCCGTTGCAGACCAAACAAATTCTTGTAGCTCTGATGCGGATGCTAATGTTATTCGATCAAATGAGGGAGCGAGAACTTGGTCGGCGGTGCAGTTTCTGTAGGTTGGAGAAGGTGGTCTTGTACTGCCGCCCCGATTCGGCCGTACTCCGGTAGGCTTTGCAGGCATCATATCACTTGTCGGCGCTAGCTTACGCCTATCGCCGCCGTCTCCTTCCAAACCCTTCGCCTCCCTAAGCACTTCCGCTCATTCAAGTGAGAATCTCCACTTTACTTTAATTTTGTGATTTCTCTTTCTCCGTTTCCTATCAATTTTTCATACAATCACTTTTAAATTGGGCTTTGATTCTTGGTTATTGATGAATTCTGATGAAATTCGAGTTAGGGTTTATTGGCTAAATTTCTAATTACCTTAAATAGCCTATGATAGTTCAGATCTAGTTTTCTTGCTGATATAGGGTTTGAATCCATCTGTGATGCTTATAGGTGTTGTACCAACCCGCTCTTCACCAACACTCCCAATCTCATTCATTATGGCTATAATTTGATTATAGCAAATCAAAGTACAATTTTGTCCTCCTAAAAAACTTGTTTTTTAATTTTTGATTATTGATTTAGAATACATATACAATTGAAAAAAATTAGATTAAAATTATCTGATTCATGGTCCATTTACCTTTGTGTGACACTGTCAATTTGTATCTAAAACAATGTATGTGGGCATTTGTGACATTATGCATTTTCATGTGTGACACTATGTGGGGCAATGCTTGTTATTATATTTTTTGACATGTATTTGGTGGTTAATAAGAAATTACTCTAAGTAGAAGTAAAACATATGTCATATAGGTTCAAAATAGGAGTTCAAATTAAACTTTACTAAATAGTAGTTATTAATTATTTTTGTTTTTCAATCACACTAAGGGTACAAACTACAAAGCCCCTATTTTTTTAGCGATCCAAATTGTTTCCCCCTTCTTCAATCTCAACAACCACCACAGATCACCATCTTCGTTACATCTCAATTGCTACCACCGTCACCATAATTTCCATCGCCGCCATATCCTTGCCTCGACGAAACCCACCGTCTCTCTCTCCTTGTCGTTGCCAAAAGTAGAACGCAAATGCCATGCTTCCATAGAGTTTGTTTGACGACGAAGAGACAATTTTCCAGTATGCCTGGATTTAAGAAAATTATTCTGAATGCTTGGCTTAATAATCAAATTTGTTTGCAATATGCCTTGTTTTTAAAAAATTAAATTGATTGTTCTCATTTTTCTTGTAACATTATACAGTGTCATATATGTCCTTATGTAGCGCTAAGTTTGGCAGTGTATATTGTGTTGAATATTACAGCGGGGAAAATAAAATATAAATTAATCCGAACTTATAGAACGTTCGGATTTTACAACGTAAAAAATAAAACAAAGAAAAGTGAAGTCTTCGGAAGCGGAACGCGAACGGACGGAGCAGGAAGACGAACAGCTACGCCGGTAGGAACGTTGCCGGAACAGTTTCTTGGAAGAAGGGTAAGGAAAGCGGAGTCGCCGGAGCTTTCCTTAAGGTAGTATTGCCCGCCTCCCGCACTAGAAAACGTGGGCAATCTGCTCCCAGGATAAAACCGCAACGTGCTAAATCTAGAGCGGTAGAACAGAGCACTGGCGAACGAGAATGACGGAGAGCTATCACCGGAGAAGATGATCGGAGATGGGGAGTAGTCGGAAACTTTAGTATTACATAGAGAGAGTTGTTTTCGAGTATGTGTTCTTCATCTCGTGACCAACCTCACCTCGCCACGCCCCGACCCGACCCGACCCGACACGCGCGCGCGTGTTGTGACGTGCCGTGCCGAGCCAGACGGCGGCGGCGCGCGAGAAGTCCTCTTCTTGTTCCTTTCATAAGCTCAATTCAATGCCTAAGCTTAAATATGAGAATACGAAAGGTTCAGAAACCAGTGTGGGACAAGGGTATTAACTCTACACGAGTAATCAACTTTGAGAATTAATTTCTCATTCACCCGAGCACCGTTTATGGCGTGTCATATGTCAAGACGTTCGTCTTACTTACGAGATTAAACGTCCATAATTATTTCAGAAAAATAATTTGTGGACCCTACCGTATTTATGTCCGAAAATGTCTAATTTACTTAAAATTTCCAACAATCCCCCACATGAATGAAAAATTAATTCATGTAACTGGAAATAACTCTGAAGTTGAAACTTGCAAGAGTAGGTGGGTTTTATGCCTTTGAACCTACTCCTTGTAAAGTATACCTTCTCTACTCGCTGTTCAGTAGAACGTGATGTCTTTGAACTGTACTGCCGTTTATGTAAACGACGATATACAATACACAAGTTTCAACCAACCATATCATTCCGTTCTCATGGGTGTGCCCATTATGGTCGTGGAACATGCATCTGGTTCTGCGAGAGTGTCAGACAGGATCAGCCTGAAATCCTTCTGTTGAAGCAACCGCACTTCACTCTTACATAGGTGATTCTTCTAAGAGTATCCCGATTACTCCACTTGGACCTCGTTGTCCACAGTTCAAGAATCATTAAAGCGTCATGCTATCCTCATCGTTTTCGGGAGTCACTATATCTCAGTAAGAACGGAGGGGTGTTAAGTCAGTGATTCGCCTTGCTCCCACAGTGACTGTGCTTCGTTCCACAAGTAGGTTGTCCCATTGAACCCAGGTACCGCCCAGGTTGGGTTTTCCTTCATGGAACGTTCCCAGCACAGGGTAGGGCTTTTAGACCCATTCCTACCACTAACTTCTCATATTGCTCATTTGTTAACCCTTTGGTTAATGGATCCGCTAAATTATCCTTTGACTTGACATAGTCAATCGAGATAATACTCGTATTGAGAAGTTGCCTAATGGTTTTGTATCTAGGGCGAATGTGCCTAGACTTACTATATATTCGCAATAACATGACTGATAGTTTATTCACTTTTGCTTTTGAAGAATGTGTTTTCCTCTCATTCGTTCTTATGACATTACACAGAATGGACATGCATAAAATGTCAAACAAACAGAGTTGTTTACCATATGTTAACTTTTTATACAACTTTAGGCTCTATCAAGTGAATAAAAGTCATGTTCTTTCATTCTTTTCAATATTACAAAAGTCATATTCTTAGTCTTTCGAGTACATATTTCTGATCAACATTAAAATCAAATAATATATATACCATTTGACAGCTATTTTTAGGTTCTACTCTATGCTGGGTGTAAGGCTCCATAAAGTAAATAAAATCATGCTTTATTGAGCCACGTGATACATCAATTTTAAACCACACTTTACATCAAATCAAGAACTTAAATAGATTTGTACAATCTAAGCATTTAATGTGCTTTCAATTACTTGATTCACAAAGCCATTATATATTCACCATGCCTGAATACTTTTGAATGTAACCGTATAAACACACCAATTCCTTCTTCCACCATATTTGAGTTCTTTTGCTTCCTTGAGATGGCCAAAAATTCTCAAAGAAATTCTAGGACAATGTTTACTCCGATTCCCGAGCTTGACAACAACCGTACAACTTGGATTCTCAAGTTAAGGGCTATTCGTGTCTACTTTGTTCCAAGGTGGGCGAGAGGCGGAGATTCTATGGATATCGTCTTTCACGATGAGCATGCATTGTATTCACGAACTTATTACATTTTTTATCAATTGCATTACTTACTTTGTATCACTCAAATTGCAAATGTGTCACTCAAATACTCATAATATCTACCTTTTCTACAGGGAACGAGGATTCATGCACATCTCAACCCCCTGGAAAAAAGGAAGTTTGAAAATTAAATCACCAAGGATGGTGTTTATGCCATTCGAAATGTGCATGTTCACGACAACTATCAAAGTTTGAAAACATCCGCAAATGATAAGCTCTTGGGTTTTTTCAGAGATACTGAAGTGAAAATTTTGAATCAGAGTGATTTTCCACGGATCATGTTTGATTTAAAACCATTTCCAGTTCTTCAAAGCCAACCATGTTTGAATGATCAAGTTTTGATTGGTATTATTTCATTGAGAAAAATTTTAAAACTTCTTCATTTCTTTTTCAATGGTTAAGCATATTTATTTTTTAAAAATTCGTACAAATGAAACAATAAATGAATCTGCCACCACACGTTTTTAAAAAAAAATTTGTGCCCTTCGAAAATTTGTTCAGTTTTTTAAATAGTTTCATTCATATGAAAATTTATAATAAGCCCCCGAGCACTGTTTATTTAAATCTGTGCAGTACACAAAATATTATCCTTCTTCTCAACAACTTTTAAAATATCTTGGCAGTTTGCACTAAAAAAATTTCCAACCCATATTATAAAATATGTCTCAACATCTTTATATCAAAAACAGTTTTTAGATCAATCATAAAAATGTCTTATATTAAGAGCTATATTTATGCAGACGTGATTGGAAAGATTGTTGCCCGAACTAAGGTTCAAACAAACATTACTAGAGCCGGAGAACAAAAATTCATGGAAGTCACACTTGAGGATCATGAGTATGAATATAAATAAGAGAATAATGTCATTTAGTGAAAAATAATTTATTCGGATTTGAGCAATGAAAAAAAAATTATAGGGGAAATCGATTGGGATGCACTCTATGGGGAGAGTATGTGGATCGTTTTTTGGGTTGTTTGACCCAAAATGCCAAAGAACCGGTGATCATGTTGTTGAGCTTTTGCAAACCACATTGTTATATGGGTAAATTATTTCTTTTATTTTGTGATTTAATTACTTTAATGATGGATATATAATATTTACATCGTATATTTATAAGTACTGTGACCGTCTCTTCTGCGTTTCATGTTACGAAGATGCTTTTCGATGGTAACTCTCCAGAGGTCAACGAATTCAGAGCAAGGTATATTTTTTAAATATAAATACTGAATTAATTTTATAGGATGATTACACCTCCTCATCTAAAATTTTTTATGTATCCAGGTTGCCTCTATAAGTGGATGACGTTGGAACAATTGGAAGTATCGTTCTAAGCGCTGGAGCTGATGGGGATGAAGGTGTTATCAAGACTACCACGATCAAAGCTCTCTTGGACACTAGAAAGGTGACGTGTTAAAAATTCTAAATTTAATTTTCAAAAGTCTTATATAAAAGTCTTAAAATTTGTGTTTGATGTTTTATAGCCCGGTCCCTACTGGATTGTTGGTAAGATTGCTTCAATAAATGATTCGGGCTACTGGTGCTATTTGGGATGCACCGACTGCAACAAAAAGGTCACCCCTGATGGTGATAAGTTCAGGTGTTCGGGTTGCAACACTACCATGCTGCATGGAGTGTACAGGTAAGCATCATTTAAAAATAATTACAATTTTATAAATTTTGAACAAATTAGTACTGAAATTTAAAAATAACAATACTTTGTGTCTTAGGTTCAAGGTAAATGTTCAGGTCTATGATTCCACCGGTCATGCTTCATTCATCCTCTTGGATAGGGAGTGCAAGGAAATTTTAGGTGCAAGTGCTTTTGTACTCAGGGAAATTATGCTTGAGGTTTGAAATAAAGCAATATTCTTTTATTATTTTATTACTTAGTCGTCACTATAATCAATAACCAAATAACTCTAACTTATTTGTTATTGTTCTTTTCTTCAGAAAAATATGGACCCAAATTGTCTTCCGACAGAGCTTAATTGTTTGCTAGGTGTACGTGGGTTGTTTCACGTCGTTTTGAAAGCCGAACTTGGGAGTCCATACTGGAGTGGACCAAGAGCCTTTGGAGTTAGATCGTTGGTCACGGATGCAAAGATAATGAGCAGATTTGAAGAGTTGATTGAGTGTGAAGAGGAAGGATTTGATGAAAAAAGTGAGGGTCTATGGGCATCTCTAGAGGATTTAAGTGAGAAGGTTCATGAAGTTGTATATTACGTATTTGATATATCCAACCAAAAGCAACACATGAAGTATTCTCAAATTTTGATTTGAATGATTTAGATAGGTTTTGAAAGCAATGAGTATTAACACATTTTATTAACAACCCGATGTTCCAATCACAACTGAAACAAGCCTGTAAGGTTTTGTCGTAAGCTTGTTGAGACTGCATGAGTACCAAATTTGGTAGATGCCGCTAAAAAACTAGTAGGATTGGTGATGGGATTAACCCGATCAGATGGCGGACCAAGAACGTAATATGTATTAGAAAGATATAATCTCTTAATAATATTCTTTTGTTGAGTATTCAATTACTTCATGCTTTACAATGGCGGGTTCTCCCCCTTTTTATAGTATTTCTAATATTGTAATTAAAATTATACAAAATGGAAAGGATTATGGAGATCATGGGGTTGTGATTCCCCCTTTTCCGGTCTCGTTCTCTTCCCATCTCGTCCACAACTCGATGATGTGGGCCACGTGTCCCATTCCTCCCTTGGGCTGGGTCACCTTGATTTATCCCATGACTGGGCCATCTTCCTCTACTTGCCATATGCGCAATAACGGGCTTGGCCCGTTATCTCCATCTTACCTTATACCTTTTGGGCTATTATGGGCCTTTATTTGGGCCTGGAATCGGGCCTACCAGACCCGATATCCACCACAAGCCACCTAGTTTTCTGGCGACGTGTCGCTAGAAAACTAATGATGAGCCGCCTTCGGTTTTCGTGTCGGATTAGAAACGTCGCACTCGAGTACCTTGGGTCCATCCTTTCAACGGATATAACCCCTTCTGAACTCGTCTTCTTCCTCTCGCTACCGAATCTTAACCCGACCCGAATTCCGACTGCAATTTCCCCAAATCCTTGCCTCTGAACAATCGGTGACTTCTCCCTTGCCCAGGGAGGAGAATCACCCTCATCTCCCCCCACAGGTGTCAGGGGGTGTTCCTCCGGGTCCCGACGTGCTTCTTAACGGTGCCAGGATGGAAGCCTCTTCTGGCTGTCCTGGCACGTCTCGTCCGCAGAAGAGACGCAATCCCCACTCAGGAGCTTCCCGGTTGGTCTCTGGTGCGAGGCCTTCCTCCAGGGTTCCCTTCCCCTCAGCAATCGTATGGACAGCCACCTGAGGAGTGGGGGGACTATGACATGGGGGGAAATAGGCTTCCATTTATACACAGGGAAAAGGATGGAACCTTCCGGGATCCGCCTCCTCCCGCCGTATAAGCGGTGACAGGCCTTAAGTCCTTCCCTCATGCCTCATCGTCCTCCTTGTCCGTCTTCATGGGAGTGTCTGCATGGTACCCACGGGGGAATGGCTTTCAATCCCAACCCGTTGGTACCCTTTCGCCTCTTTTGAATGTCATCAAGAGAGAACGGTGGGCTCTCTTCACACCCCCCGCTCTGGGGTTCTTTTCTGGTTCAGGCAGGGAAGCAAGGGTCAGCGAATACACTCCTTTAGATTCCAGAAGTGTTGATCCGCCTTGCCGTCAGATTCTTCCAGTAGTAAGATAGAAGTAGATCAGGGACAAAGTTCATTACTGTAACCCAAAGGAATGTACTCTTCTGTTTGAGTTATTTAATGAAAATCTTTATCTCCCGTCTCTTTTTTGTTTTGTCGCTAGATCAGGGGTAAGGCCCATTACTGTAACCCAAAAGAATGTAATTTTCTGTTTGAGCTATTAATGGAAAAACCTTTATCTCCTGTTGTTTGATATAATTTTGTTGCACGTGCCGTCATCTGCATGGAGTAGAAGTCTTCGCCATTTAACTCCTTACCTTCCACGGATGACATCTTTCCCAAAACGCGGATGGGCCCCATCAACTGGCCCATGCACTTAAGTGGCGAAAACCCCCGGTCAAACATTGGGAATCTTCGACCGCTTCATTCACCAATCGCTTCGTCTTTCACATCTTTTAACTGCATTCATCATTTCCCAACTATCCCTTCCCCTTTCACTATAAATGGGAAAGGATGGTTAGCTGCTAGTCCATCCCTTTCTGACTTCTTCGCCATGGCAAGTAAGTCTCGGAGTAAAGTCGTCATCAGCTTAACCCCTTCCGGGACATCTTCTTCTTCGGATGATGATTTCTCCGCCTCTCCGGCTCAATCCAACGACATGGCTGGGTTGAGTCCCGGCGAGTTCTCAAGACTTTATCCAAAAACTTGCCTCCCTGCACCATCTCCTCCTAGTCCACCCAGGCTTCCATCCGGAAGGATAGACTGGGACTCAATGACCCTCCAAAACTTCGCCTTGTACCAGAGGATGCGCAGGGCTAGACTTGGGCGTTCTTTGCCAATTGTTGAGGCAGAACCTTCATGTGAAAGCCGGACTGCTTCTCCAAACTTGCTGAAGTCTCCCAAAGATGGTTCTTCATTAAGGGCTGCAGCTCCCCGTCCTGGGACATGGGAAGACTATGACATCTGGGAAGCTACTGATTCCACAGCGTGTCCCTCGTCAAAGAGAAGGAGCCCATGGAAGGGACCCCCACCTCCTTCTTGTTGACTGCATGGACCCAATAGGCCCTCCTTCAGCGCCTAGCCCCTTGCAAATCAAATTTCTTTTCCTCGTTTTATATCAAGAGGCATTCACTTGTTTGGTTCAGGAGTTTTCCCTGCGTCCCAAACTAAGGAATGTTCCTTAATCTCAAATTAGGAATTATCGTTGTAATTCAAAGATACAACCCCCGAATTAACAATCGATGAACTCCCTTATTTTCTTTTCTTTTTTATCTTACTAGGAACCTTTATTGTGAACCAAAAATGTAAACTTTGGCCCATCAATGTGGTCCTTAATAGTTGTTTCTTTGCACCTTTTCTAATGCAAGTACGTAATTCATTCTCTATATAAAATCTCATCTCCCGGGGTTTGGACATGCCAGGGGAACTTACCTCATCTGCCCCTTGCCTCCTTTCCACCGGGTTAAGGCATAATCTTATCTACCTTAGATCAGTTGAGCTCCAACCCTCGAAGTTTGTTTGCTCGGTTGATCTGTGCTGGTGGAATACTAAGCTTCAGTCCTCAAAGTCTGCTTGCTATTCTTCCTGAATTCCAGGTTGTACTGGCCCTCAAAGTCCAATCCCAACCCTTCCTTCATTTTTTGACGGAGGCATAAACTTATCTACCTCCGGGGGGCATAAACTTGTCTACCTCCCCTATTTTTAGCAGGTGGCATAAACTTATCTACCTCCCTGTAATGCGGGTCTATATCGCCCGGGGGTGATCTCCCCCCCTTTTTTTAAAGAAATCTATAGAACAATGAAATCGCAAAGGCACTTGGCTTTAGAGGAAAGAAAATTTATTGAAACAAACATCTTAAGTTAAAAATAGAGCGCTTTTACAAAATGGTTTTACTGATAAAATTTAACCAAGTGCTCTACATTCCATGTCCTATCAATTTCTTTTCCCTTGGGAGTCACCAACTTGTAGGTACCTGGGCGAACAACGGCCTTGATGATATAAGGTCCTTCATACTTATTAGCCAGCTTCCCACCTTTAGTTGGTTGACTTTTCTCTCGTTTCCTCAGAACGTAATCCCCCACCTAGAACGCCCTTGGTTTCACTTTACTATCAAAGTAAGATTTCACCTGGCGACGATAATTCTCTGCCTGGATCCGTGCTTCATCCCTTCGTTCCTCTACGAAGTTCAGTTCTACGGCCTGATTCTGTTCGTTTACTTCTGGGTCATATTCCATTTCTCTCCTGGTGGGGATTACTGCCTCAGCGGGAGCCCGGGCTTCAAAACCATAAGCTAAGCCTAAAGGAGTGTCACCCGTAGCTCTCCTTGGAGTCGTCCTATATGTCCATAGGATTCTGCGTAGTTCATCCACCCATTTGCTCCCCTCTGAAAGCAACTTCTTTTTTATTCCGTCTATGATTGTCCTGTTGACGTTCTCCACCTGTCCATTAGCCTGAGGGTAGGCAACAAACACTTTTGTATGCTGAATTCCCCAAGTTCTGAGGAAGTCTTGGAACTCTGCTTCCTCAAACTGGGTTCCATTGTCAGATATGATCTGCTTCGGGACTCCAAACCTGTAGAGTATATTCGTTCCGACGAAGTCGATCATCTGCCTTCCGGTTATCCCAGCAAGAGGCTCAGCTTCCACCCACTTGGTGAAATAGTCTATCGCCACCACAATCCACCTTGCCTGCCCAGCTCCTCTCGGCAGGGCTCCCACAATATCAATCCCCCATCTTGAGAAGGGAATCACAGAGCTGATGGGCGTGTAATTCGTGGCTGGCCTCCCGGGTATATTCTGGAATTGTTGGCAGGTTGGCCACTTGCGTACGTACTCTTCGCAATCCTTCCTCATCGTTGGCTAGAAATATCCCTGGATAATCGCCCTTCTGGAGATAGAGTATGGACCCTGATGTGCAGCACATACCCTTCATGTATTTCTTCCATCAGCGCCTTTGCCTCTGCCGCCCGGAGGCAGCGGAGTAAAACACCGTTGTAAGATCGCTTATAGAGGACTCCATCCTTCACCTTGTAGGTAGGTGCCCTCATTCGCAACAGACGTGCTTCTCGGGGATCCTCCTGGGCTTCACCGTCCTCAATGTATTTGGCCAACCTGTCCAGCCACTCCGGGGGATCCGCTGATACCCAGATCACCTCATTTCTATTAGGACTCGGGGTTGCCAGCTCCTCGATGGTTGCTAATTTGCTTATGTATTCCGGTGACTCTGCGCTGAGCTTGGATAGAACATCAGGCTCCGCGTTCTGGGCCCAGGGTATATGTTCAAGCTTAAAATCAAACTTCCCCAACATTTCTAAGGACAAGTCTCGATACCTTTTCATCCTATCTTCCTTAGCTTCAAACTCCCCAGTGATTTGCCCCACCACCAATCGGGAGTCGCTGTAAACCTGAACCCTGGATACTCCCAATTTACTAAGAATCTTCAATCCGTTGATCAGGGCCTCATATTCAGCTTCATTGTTGGATATGCGGAACTGAAATCTGATAGCATAATAAATCCGGAAATTTTCTGGGGTGATCAAGACGATATCTGCTCCGCAAGATCGAGCCCCAGAAGATCCATCGATGCTCATTACCCACCAGTCATTTTCCACCCGGGTTTCAATCTGGGCTCTTGTCATTTCCCTGGCGGTGCACTCAACTTGAAAGTCGGCGAGTGCTTGCCCTTTGATTGAGGGGCGCGGCCTGAACTCCACGTTATACTGACTGATGAAAACTGCCCACTTGGTCATCCGGGCAGATGCCACCGGACTTCGGGTAAGTGACGCCAAAGGCTCATTCGTGAGCACAACAATCCGGTGAGCCTGAAAGTACGGAGTTAATCTCTTCGCTGTCCAAAAGACCGCTAACATGGCCTTCTCTAGACGGGAATACCTTAACTCCGCATCTCTCAGGGTCTTGCTGACGTAATAGACCGGATGTTGGGCCCCATGCTCTTCCCTCACGATCACAGTACTTATGGCACAGTCTGCAATTGCCAAGTATAGGGTCAGAACATCTCCAGGCTCCGGCTTAGATAAAACCGGCGGACTTGCGAGATATCTCTTCAGTTCTTCAAATGCTTCTTGACATTCCTGTGTCCACTCGAAGGTCGCCCTCTTCTTGATTACCGTAAAGAATGGGTGCGCCTTCTCTGCCAGCTTTGAAAGAAAACGATTCAAAGCTGCCAATCTCCCTGTCGGCCGCTGAACTTCTTTTGCTGTCTTCGGGGGTTCCATCTCCATGATGGCCCTAACTTTCTCCGGATTTGCCTCAATCCCTTTTCGGCTAACCATGTGCCCAAGGAATTTCCCACCCTGAACAGCAAAAGTACATTTCTTCGGGTTCAATCTCAGATTTACCTTCATCATGATTTCAAAGACCTCTTCAAGGTCCCGGACATGGTCTCGGGCCTCTTTGGACTTGACAATCATGTCATCAACATATGCTTCCATGGTTCGCCCTAAGACGGACTTGAACACCTGAGAGACCATCCGGGTATATGTCGCCCCGGAATTTATCAGTCCAAAGGCCATCACCAGGTAACAGTACAGCCCTTCTAGGGTCATAAAACTCGTCTTTTCAGCGTCAGCCGGATGCATCCGAATCTGACGGTAGCCGCTGAAAGCGTCCATGAAGCTCATTAACTCTGATCCGGCAGTCTCATCCACCATCTGAGCGATGTTGGGGAGAGGAAACGGATCCATGGGACATGCCTTGTTCAAATCTGTGTAGTCGACGCACATCCTCCACGAAGGGGGCTTGGGCGCTAGAACTACATTTGCCAACAAATTCGGGTATTGCACCTCCCGGATGTGACCAATGCTCTGCAAGGTTGCTACCTCCTTCTTCACGAAATCTCTTCTTTCCTATGACAAATGCCTCCGCTTCTGCTTCACTGGTTTAGCATCCCGTAGGACATTTAGGCGATGGACTGCAATCTTGTGATCCAGCCCTGGCATATCAGATGGACTCCATGCAAAGACCCTCGTGAATCTTCTAAGGACTAAAATCACCCGTGATCTGAGTTCAGCCCCCAGGCCCTTGCCAATCCTGACTAACCTTCCCGGCGTGCCTGGCTCTAGTTCCACTTCTTCAATGTCGCCAGCAACTTCCACCATGGGACGTTTTTCCTCAGCCCTCAGGAGCTGTGCAGTCACCTCTCCCACTTGGGTATCGTACTTGACTGGCTGTTTGGTTGCCTTCAAATACCATGCCCGGGACACTCTCTGAGATCCCCTAGCGATTCCAACTCCGTAGGGGGTTGGGAACTTTATGCACAGGTGACGAGGTGAGATGACACACTCTAAATCTTCCAATCCGGGTCTGCCCAGGATGATGTTTGTGTTGGAGATTATCCCCACCACCACAAACTCCATGTCCATCTTCTGGGTGGCCATAGTATCCCTATCTCAACCGGGAGAGTTATTACCCCCTCCGGTTCAATAGAGTCACCAGTGAACCCGGTCAGTGGAGTTTTGATGGGTGATAATTCATCCCTTGTCAAACCAAGAGCCTTGTACGTGTCCATATACATGATATTAACGGAACTTCCCATATCCACAAGGGTTTTATGGATCAGCAAGTCCATTATATCAATAGTAATCACTAGGGCGTCCCTATGGGGGACCCCTGTCTCTGGCAAATCAGCATTTGAAAATACAATTGGCTCGGTTTTCAATTTCTTACCTTCTGGGACCAGCACCTTGTTGACCGCCGCCGCGTTGGCCCACTTTTTTCGGCTTGTGGCTGAGTCTCCGCCAGTATTCCCTCCAATGATGAAGTTACACCCGTGGTGTCTCTTCTGGCGATGCGGCGCGGGTTCCGAATCCTCTTCTTCATCTTCAAGCCCAATGTGGCGTTTCTCCCGAGCCTCAGCCTGGGCCACTTCTTTATCTCTGTGCTTTCCATTCTGAGTGTTCCCGGGATTTCCCGCATCTCCATCTTGTACGAACTTCTTTAGATGACCCCGGCGGATTAGCCTTGCCATCTCATTCTTCAGGGTATAGCAATCTTCCGTATTGTGATCATTCTTGCGATGGTAAGCACACCATTTTCCAGTGTCCTCCACATTGCAGACCTTTTGAGAGTAGGTTGGATAAGTCATGAGTCCCTGCTGTGTAGCATGGGCCATGACCTCAGCCACCGGTAATGTGAAGACTGGATTGGCAGATTTGTGCTTCTCCGAGGTCCCAGGACTTGTGCCCTTTGGGCCATCCGGGAAGCCCTGCTTCTTGTTTTTGAACGGCTTCTTATTTCCCGTCTTCTCTTCTTCTTTAGGAGTCTTCTCTTTCTTCTCCTCCTTTCTCTCCTCCTGGGTCACATACCTCCCGGCCCGGACCATTGCTTCTTCAAAGGTATCCGGGGGATGAGTTGTAAGATCGGTATGAAGGAGTCCATCTTGTAACGCCGCTGTGAACATGGCCAACCTAGATTTGTCGTCGGTTCCTTCAACCTCCCTGGACTCCTTCCTCCATCGAATAAGGAAATTCTTCAAGGACTCTCCGTGCTTCTGTCGCACTGAAGCCAAGTGAGTGAAATGCTTCTTGGGACGGCAGTTCCCGGCAAAATGCTCTAGGAACCGCAATCCCAATTCATCCCACGTCCGGATCGATCCGGCAGGAATATGGTTGACCCAATCCGCCACCTTGCTGTCAACCGTCTGCAAGAAGCACCTGCACATGAGTGCGGTAATGGCGTCTACGGCAATCATCACCTGGACATAGCTGTTTATGTGTTCCTGGGGATCTGACTCCCCATCATAACACTTAACGAACGGCATTTTGAATCCCTGCGGATATGGTTCCGCAAAGATCTCCGGGGCTAAGGGAGTATTCGTCCGGGTAGTGAATACTCGACCCTTGTTTATCTTCCTCTGCATCTCCTGGATCTGCTGCCTCAGATCCTGGAATTCACCAGTTTCCGGTACCGGCGGCCCCAGACGCCGTGGTGCTGGGACCCTTGCTTGGCTTTGAACTTCGTCCTCCTCCAAATCCACCAATGACCGGATCGGCGCTTGGCTCCCACCACGGCCGTTTCGCTGCCGGGGTTCGCGGTTAGAAGATGCCACTTGACTGGCCTGGGGTTGCACCCAACCCTGGGGTGCCTTATCCGGATTCTTCCCCAGCCTCTCACTAACGTGAGCTTTCTGGCGAGATATCCTTTCAAAGACAGTTCCCCGCGGGTTTTCGTTTTCATTGCCGGCGATCCGGCTTGCATCCTTGGCCCGGTCTTCATTCACCTTACTATTCCGGGCCAATTCCTCCGCCCGGCGTCTGGCCACGGCTTGTCTCTCCCTCTCAACCTCCTCCGGATCATGAAGCTCCTGGAGGATTGGAGAACTCGCAGTACGCAGGACCTGGCGGGGTTGCCCGGCAGGGATGTCCCGAGTACCGGATGGACCTGGAAGAGCCTTATCCAATCGTTCCATAATGTTGGCCATCATGTTAGCCACATTATTCAATGCCGTTTCCAACCCATTGACAGGAACGATCATACCCTGTTCAGGGTTGTCACTCCTCACCGTCGACTGGGCGGAAGCAGCAGTGTTACGTATCGTCCTTCGTCCGGCCATAATCTCACAGCCTTATCTCATAGTTTTCTCTCAACGAGAGCACCAATGATGGGATTAACCCGATCAGATGGCGGACCAAGAACGTAATATGGATCAGAAAGATATAATCTCTTAATAATATTCTTTTGTTGAGTATTCAATTACTTCATGCTTTACAATGGCGGGTTCTCCCCCTTTTTATAGTATTTCTAATATTGTAATTAAAATTATACAAAATGGAAAGGATTATGGAGATCATGGGGTTGTGATTCCCCCTTTTCCGGTCTCGTTCTCTTCCCATCTCGTCCACAACTCGATGATGTGGGCCACGTGTCCCATTCCTCCCTTGGACTGGGTCACNAGAAAGATATAATCTCTTAATAATATTCTTTTGTTGAGTATTCAATTACTTCATGCTTTACAATGGCGGGTTCTCCCCCTTTTTATAGTATTTCTAATATTGTAATTAAAATTATACAAAATGGAAAGGATTATGGAGATCATGGGGTTGTGATTCCCCCTTTTCCGGTCTCGTTCTCTTCCCATCTCGTCCACAACTCGATGATGTGGGCCACGTGTCCCATTCCTCCCTTGGACTGGGTCACCTTGATTTATCCCATGACTGGGCCGTCTTCCTATCTACTTGCCATATGCGCAATAACGGGCTTGGCCCGTTATCTCCATCTGACCTTATACCTTTTGGGCTATTATGGGCCTTTATTTGGGCCTGGAATCGGGCCTACCAGACCCGATATCCATCAATTGGATATGCTAAAATTTGGTATATTTCACCATTTATCTGATAGATTGAGATATGGCACACTATAAGATTCATTAGAGTTGAATACCTTCAAAAGCAATACAAAAATCCAGCATAGTCTATTTTAACTCGGTAGAGTTGACTTTAGCGAAATATAAAACTAGTGAGGTCATAATTAGCAGGATTTGGAATTTGATTTGAAGGACCGAGTAATAACCACAAGTGGGATTTGGTGGAGGTAGATGTGCGCAGACCTTACTCCTTCCCAACAGGGTAGAGAGGCTGTTTCTCCAAGACCTTCGGCTTTAAAAATGAACCAAAAACCTGTTAGAGAAGTAAAGAAAAGCAATGATGTAGAGTAGATGGAAAAGTAAATGGAGACAAAACAAGAGACAAAGGACAAAGAGAAAAAACCAGAGCACACACACCCTACTCTAACTCCAACTCTTCTTCGGTCTCCCTTTCCCCTGCTCAAATTTCATACCGCCTGCGTCTCACACCTTCTCCCATCCATACTTCTCGTCTGCACATGTCCAAGCCATCTTAATCTAGTTTCGCACATCTTTTCATCTACATAAGCCACCCTTATCTTGTCCCTATTCTTAACCTTATTCCTCCTAGTTTGTCATTCTGTACCATATCCACCTAAGTATCTTCATCAATCCACCCTCATTTTCTATACGTGAGTGTTGTTTATTGAACAATGTTCTGACTCATACAATATAGCAGGTCTAACACTCTAACCAGCACTGATAGAACTTTCCTCAGTTTCAAAGGAACATTCTTATCACACAAAGGACACCCCGTGTGAACCTCCATTTCATCTAGCCCTCTTCCTTCAACGTCGTACGTGGCACGACAACTAGAGGAGCAGACAGCAGTGAAGATAGCAGCAGCGCTGATCCAGAAGAGGATGTAACCAGCCTTTTCAAGTGAAAAATAAAATAAAAGATTGTACATGAATGCAATGTTACCAACAATTATAAGTATGTTTATTGAAAAGGCTGATCAACGCATGTGAAAACACATTCTTTTGCCAAAAGTGTCATATAGCTAATTTATTACCAACGAGCCATGACTTGATTTAGTTTCGGGTTTGATCCATTTTGGGTTTGGTCTGTTTCGGATTTGATCAGTTTTGTGTCTGATCGGTTTCAAGTTTGATTTGTTTGGGTACAATCAATTTCAGAACTAAATCAGGTCTGGATACATTTAGTTCGGTTACATTTTGGTTTGGATCATTTTGGTTATAGATTGGTTCATCAGTTTTCAGTTCATTTCAGTTTTAGATTTGCTTTGCCAGGTCTACCCATAATCCTTGTAGGGATCGTTGAACTGCTCTGTGCTCTTATATAGGGCATAGGCTATTGAGGTCTAAGAGGATCCATTTATTTGGATCCAGTTTTATAGGGTGTTCTGTATATGCTATGATTTAAATTAAATTATTGATTGAGATCATATAAGTTTTACTGGTAGCTTATTTATTTATCATTATTGGGTTAACTCATTAACTGTATCCTAGAAGTCTGCCAAAGAAACTTGCATTGCTAGATCGTTTATTGACTCATAGGTATAGTCTTGGATTTAGCATCTAGAGAAACAGAAAGGTTGAGAAGTTCATGTAATCCAGCAATCATACTATTTATACTCAAGTTACTGGCAACTTAGGACATCACGCAAAGCTAGTCATCGGTGTGCCTAGTAGATGGTTAATTGCAATCAGGAACAAAGTAAAGATTATTTTAGCTGGAGCAAATTATCAGCTTTCTCTTTCTGGGCCGGCAATTTTCATTTAACATGAAAACTCTTAAGAAATGCCCAATTTTACATAAATACTCCCAGGTTCATTAATTGACATCGCTACTCCCAGAAATTTGACATTTTAGAACCGCTACTCCATTGTTGCCTAGTTATCTTGCGTGTTAAATACATGGTATTTTAAATGTATGAGTTGACAACTAATTAAAAGACTGAAATGTTTTATAACCATACCCCCATCTCTTACGCCCTATATTATATCCTAGAATTTATGTAAAACACTATAAGTATTTTTTAATTTATATTTTAATTAGATAGGCTGTGAATAGTGTTCCAGGAAAAAAAGATCATTTGAGGCTAATATTTTAAGTCAAAGTTATATTCGTTGGATAGGTCGCCATGAGAGGAATCTAATGGCATGTTTGAAACAATTTGTGCTGCGGATTTAAAGTTATGGCCATTTTAAGAGTATAAAAATTGAAAAGTAAGACCGAGTTTGTTGGACAATAATTTGAGAATATTAAATGATAAGTGTTATGTGTATTTATTTATTCCGATTAGGCTCAGGTCACCCGTAAAATCGGTTCACGATTGTGCACTACTATAGAACCAAAAGGAGCAACACCCCAACCCAACCTCGCCACACTCCACTCACAAAGAAACGGAGAAGAACAGAGAGACCACACAGAGCAAGAGAAAAACCCACTGGAAGACTCACAAAAGAGATGAAGGATTTTTGCACGGTGAAACAACTCAAGGGGGAAGCCTCAATTTATAGTAGAGATTTAGGAGTTAATTAAGGTAAGCTTAATTAGGTTAGGAATAAAGGTTGGGTTTGAGTAAATGGGCTGCTGGGTTGGGTGTCAAATATTATTAATATGTTTGGGCCAACCCAAATAAATTAACAATCTCTACCTTTGGCCCAAAGTAGTGCACATAGTTTGACAAGGAATCGCGGGACTCATCATAGCCTAATAACCACTAAATGTGTAATCAACAAATGAGAACACACGTAGTGGTGGAGAGTTCACTAAGTACTCTCAAGTCACGAAGACTAGGCAATATCACAAAGCATGCCAAAAATAACTCACGAAGAGTCGAACTCTACCATTGGGTCATCGAGTTCAAAAACAAAAGAAAAGCAAAAGTCACAAAGACAAAAAAAAACGAACAAAAGATCAGCACACAATCACAGAGATAGGTTTAAAATCTTTTGACATAAGGTAAATTTTTCAACAGGTAAACACTTAGTACCCATGTCAGCTGGATTAGATTCCGTAGGAATTTTCTCCAACATGACAATGCCCTTTTCAACTATGTCTCTAATAAAATGAAACCTAACATCAATATGTTTTGTTCTATCATGAAAAACAGGATTTTTGCATAGTTGAATGGCAGATTGACTATCAAAAAAACAACCACATTATTATCGAGCAAGCATATTTCAGATAAAAGACCTTTAAGCCAAATGGCTTCTTTAAAAGCATCTGTGGCTGCAACATACTCAGCCTCAGTAGTAGATAAAGCAACAATGTGTTGAAGTTGAGATTTCCAACTAATGCAAGAACCACACAAAGTGAACACGTAGAAAGTAGTAGATTTTCTATTATCCCTATCGTTTGCATAGTTAGAATCCACATAGCCAATCAATTTAACACTTTTATCACTTTTTGAAAAAGTTAAACCAACATTCCTAGTAGATTTTAAGTATCTCAAAAAGCCATTTTAGAGCATTCCAATGAGCCATGCCAGGATTAGACATGTATCTACTCAAACAACTAACAGCATAAGCAATATCAGGCCTAGTGCTAATCATAAGATACATCACAGAACCAATAGCATTCGAATAAGGCACACTTTTCATTACATTAATTTCACCTTTACTTTTAGGGCACATATCCTTACTTAACACAAAATGAGCAGCTAAAGGAACATCCACAGGTTTAGCATCAGACATAGCAAATTTACTCAAAGTCTTATCAATGTAGGAATTTTGATTTAAAACAAGAGTAGATTTCTTTCTGTCCCTAACAATATTCATGCCAAGTATTTTTCTAGCATCTCCTAAATCTTTCATGTCAAAATTTTTGCAAAGATAATTTTGAACATGCTCAATAGACTTTAAGCTAGGACTAATGATTAGCATATCATCCACATAAAGGAGAAGAAAAACAGGAACAGAGAAAGTGTTCTTGAAGTACAAGCAGTGATCAGCATTACTTCTCTTAAAACCAAAGTTTTTCATGCAATTATCAAATTTAATGTTCCATTGCCTAGGTGATTGTTTTAAACCATACAAAGCCTTTTT